CTGACTCTGTCTCTGGCCTTAATCAAAGGAGTGCTCTCCCCAGAAGAAACAAACTTATTCCCTGGCATGCAATAAAATCAAAATGGACACAGCCAACATTGTAATTCCGACTCGTTGCCATTAAGCGTTACGCCTCCTGGCGACTGGCGACCGGCGACAACTTGGCGTCAGCCCAAATGCCATAATGAGCCGCAGTTCAATTCAGGTTCGACGACCTTCTGCGCTGCACTATCACAGATCTATAGGGGAAAACTAAGAGTCGTGCAAATAAAAGCAAGACTGCACATTCTTTAACACAGATTTCAAGTGCCGATCCTCTCTTTTCGTTGGGTTTGTTACGGCAGTGCCTCCAAATTTGGCCTGAGCTTTCAGCGGCATTTAGCACTGATGCCAGCCAATGGAGCGATGAGTCGTCTCCGCTGACATGGAGTGTACTGCCATTTTGATGGCCATTTATGAAGCCACTGACTGGGTAAAAGCTGGTGGGCGGTCGCATTCCCACGCCGCTTAGGGCACACCCAGACAGAAATGGGAAAACCGTTTGAAGATTTCAAGGGGCCGGATAATTATTTACGCAAAAGCTGCAAAATTAATGCAGAACAATGGGCCGATGGAGTGATGTAGCGATGATGAGGGGTAAAAGCATTTCGCTGGATAGCGCTCCAAATACGCAACGTCGAGCGGAGGAGGGGCGGAGGCCGAAAGATTTATGGCGTTCGTCCAACTTTGGAATATCCCAAGCCAAAGCCACCGAAATGTGACCAAAAGCCGAGCGAAAAGAAAACATGTGCTCCGCGAGAGAGCAAGCACCGTTGGAGAGCAAGCCCCACAAGCGATCTCTCGCTCTCTCGCTGTGCCTCTCTCTTCTCTCTTCTCTCGCTATCTGTCTACCAGCGTCGCACCATAAATATGAGTCGCTGTGGCCAGGTAGCCTCAGTTCGTTTTTGAATACCACAACAGCAACCAAGTCTCAAAAAACTAAAAAAAAAAACGCGTAAAAGCCAACACCAGTGAACGCCAAACGAGTGTGGAAAATAAACTCAAGCCAAGACTTTAAATAAACTTAAATACAACCCAATTCCAAAATGCATTCGGAAACAGTTTGTGCCGCCTTCGCGCTGCTCGCCTGCCTCGCCCTCGTTGAAGCGGCCGTCTACAGCCAGCCCGCCATCTTTCATCCTGGTTAGTATTTGTGAAGGGGAAGGAGGAGGAAAGTCCGCAGTCCATTTACCAGCACTGTTTTGTAGCTTCAAGTTGTTTTCGTTTTGCAAATTATGCAAACTTTTCTGATAGATGTGAAAAATTCCATTTGTTTTTATGCTCCTCGAATCTTGTTTATGAAGTTTTCTAATTAAGTTCTCAATTAATTCTTACCCCATAAACGACCTCTGCCAGCCGTTGAGAAACAATAAAAAAGCAAAACAAAACAAAACATTGATAGGAGTTGTCAGGCGGGGGACTTCAGTGATTGATTTACGATACAAACGATACATGCGAGGTCTACCATTAGACACATTTTGAGGTATCAGTGTCCTACAGGCAAAAGATCTGAAACCCATCCAGACGTACGCCACTTTGACGTCAGAATTGTCTGATGGAATTTTGTCGGGCATGTGATTTATGGCAACAACTAATCCAATTCAATATTTGGCAGCATGCGTTGACGTCAACGTTTTGTTGGGGGGTATAAACAAAAGAAAACCATCGAACAACGCAAAAGCTGAGCAAAAACAAAAGCAGAAATTAAACGAAATTTTTCATATTGTTTGGCCCCCTTTTCGGCAACAGATACAGATACAGATACAGATACAAGAATGGAAGCAGATAGAGAGAGATACAGATATAGTTAGATACATACGCAGATATGAGTTTTCGGTTTTGGGTTTTTCGCATTTGCCAAAAATTAGCATAAGAAATGTGCTGATATTTGGTTATTATTCAAGAGATCATCGTGGCATCTCATTTGCATCGCTATGCGGATTTAAGTTAGAAAAATTATCACCAGAGTCGGATATGTTGTCTTTTCTTTTGGTGCTATCTATCCTCCGTCTGGGTTGAGTTGGTTATTCATACGTGAAGGTCGTGCGGCGGGAGTTTCGGGCATTTTGGTCCACAATCCACAATAAAAAATATACACATATTCGCGAGAAATTAGCGCCAGGCCCAGTTTAAAAATAGGCGATGAGTTCACGCGAGCCCCTCGATTAATTGCACAAATGGGAATGGGAAAGAGAAGGAGACGGAGAAGGAGCAGAAGTAAGAGGAGAATTGGTAAAATTAATGGCAAGTGCCATTAATCAAACTTATGTTTGTACCTTTCTATTTGGCAAATCAACAATTTCAGCCCCAGTGCCCAGCGGCCATTTGTTATAAATAAAAGTTCGAGTGCGAGTGCGAGTGCGGGTGCGGGTGCGAGTACGCTCCAGCATCATTGTCTGAGATTTAAAAATAAGTATGCCACAATCACGAGTTGCCTGCGGCATAGCTGATGTATTTATAACCCCCACAACTTCAGACTCCAACTCCACTTCATTGCGGCAATTTACTTGTCGAATGACTGTCAAGTTTGTGTCTTGAGTCTTACGTTCCGCACACTGTGGCACTCCATCTAGATTGCATTTAGATTCATGATTGGACGGGGGGAACAGTATTCCAATTTGTGTAGCCGGCATGCACCGAGATTTATAGGCACTTCCTCATAAACCGTAGCTGCGACAGCGCATAAATATTGTAAAATACAACAAAGAAGACCACTTCCGCTTTAAGTTTTAAGTTTTGCTTTTGCTAACCTTCCGCTTTTCTCTGTTGCAGCACATCCCGGCAAGTGCTACGACAAGTTCACCAGGCGAGCGATGCTGCCCGACAAGGAGTACAAGCCGAAGGGCATCTGCGCCAGCATGACGTGCAGCCTCGAGGCGCGGGAGATCAGCATCGAGACGTGCCCGTATGTCGAGGCACCCGGCTGCGAGGAGCTGCCCGCAGACGTCAACTGGAGCTTCCCCAAGTGCTGTCCGCAGTTCAAGTGCGTTGACTTTAAGACCGGCAAGGAGTTTGTCGTCTCGCTGTAGATACCAAGCATGCAGCATGCCCACCCCCTCTCCCTGTCAGTTGAAACTGAAACGTGATTTTACATGAAATGTATTCGTAGATGTTTAGTGTCTCTCTCTGTGTGTGTGTGTTTGTGTGTCTGCCTGATTTATGAGTGCGAATGATTCATCTAACGTTTTAATTTATTTATTGTAATTTGTACATAACCCCAACCCCAACCCCACCCCACCACCAAAACCCCCTGTCGGCATTGTCATGTTTTCACGTGTGAACAGAATTTTAGATGTTTTTTTCGTTTTGATTTATTCAAAAGTCCCCTGTATGCGATATTTGCAATTATGACTAACTTTAAACATAAATTGTTTAGTTTTTAAGTTTTAAATAAAATAAAAACAAAAACGTACACATAAATATTTGTTTGCTCTTGGATCGCTGGGTTCGGGGCAGTCATGTCCAAATTTGAACATTTTTCTGCTTGTTTGCGCTCTGTCCACACACACGACACACGAATTCCAGGCCCGCGTATTACGCGGACATCTGTTTTTGGACTGTGTCAACAAGAGACGACAGAGCAGAGAGTCAGTCTACTGACTCATCTGCGCGGCGTGCTTTCATTGGGTAAACATGGCACATTCCGGCACTTGAAACGCTCCAGAGGCGAGCACCAAATAAGAGCCAAGCAAAAGTTTATTGGCTCGGGGAGCAAGCTTCAATGGTTGTTGACTTTGCGACGCACCTGTTGGGAATATTAAGCTTCCCAATCGGAAATACACCAGTGTCGTATAACCATTGCTCGATTGGGCAGCATAAAGACTTTTTGAAATGCTTAAATTTGCCGCCTCAATTTAATATACAAAACCCAACACTTATTTCATACACTTTGGTATATTTCTGGTATTAACAATTATCGCACGAAACATGGCAAAACATATATCGATATGTCGGTCTACATTCCATCCCTATTGGGCGTTGCTAGTTGTTGGAAATTATTATTATTTTGGAATTTTTCCATTTAAATAGCTTAAAAACAGCACAGAATGCACTCATACGCGACTCTCGTTGCACTGCTGCTAGTAGCAGCATTGATTCACGAAGGTCTGTACACATCTGATTAACGAATAACAAGCAACCCGAGCCGAGCTCAGAGACGACCTAATAATGTGTTGTTTGTTGACAGGTGATGCCATTTGGTGCTACCGCTGCACCTCTGCCACGCCCGGCTGTGCCGAAAAGTTCAACTGGCGTGGAATTGGCTTTCTGGGCGAGCAATGCCCGGAGCCCAACGACATCTGCGTTAAGGTGACGGAACGGCGCGGCTGTAAGTGGCTCCAAGTTGGAACAAAAGTTTCATACTCATGTGGTTCTTCTTCGAATTTCAGCAAGGGAAACGATAACACGTGACTGCCTCAGTGCCCTTAGCTTCCGAACAGATATTCCCGCCGACAAATACGAAGGCTGCCGCCCGGCGGCAAAGGATGTGCGATTGGCCCACTACGTCAATCACACCATCAAGGAGCACGATGTCAAGCGGGACTTCTTCCCAGACACGACGTTCTGCTTCTGCTTCCTAGACCATCGCTGCAACGGCGCCAGTGGTCTGCAAATGTCCGCGGCCCTGGGCCTACTGGCCATGGCCATAACGCTACTGCTCGGCCGCTAGGCCCTCGACTGTGCTGCGTAGTTGGTACCCAAAGTGCCTTAAGCCCAATTAACGAAAGTTCAAGTAGAGCTCGAATCTCGTCTAGCCACATTCCGTCCCCACTTTTTGTACAACTTTTTGTATTACTTGTGTCTGTTTACTCACCTAATTAAATACATTTTACAACATTATAAACAGGCGTGAAGTCGTTGTCGCCGGAAGGAGTTGCAGCGTCTTGAATCTTGGGCCCTCTGTAGTCATAGCCCTCCACTTCGGGATGCTCTTTTATGTACTGGGCATAGACATCGGCCAGGCGCAGGCACTGTGGCACGGACAACTCAAAGGAACGCAGCGTATCCCGAACATCGGCTCGCTGGAAGAGCGTTTGCGTGGCCTCCTCGCGCCCATCGGGCGGAAGGAGAGTTCCGTAGCCGCGGCGACAGTATTTCTGGCGCATGCTAAATATGTGACGCATGACGCGCTCCACGAGCGAAAAGGGCAGCTGAGTCTTGGGCTGCTTCAGTGGCATGAGCTTGACCACGCCAACGTCCACTTGTGGCTTGGGAACGAACGCCTTGCCCGGTATTATGAACTTCATCACCGGCTCCGTCCAGATTTGGGACATTACCGAAAGCCGACAGCGCTGTTCGCTCCCCACCGGGGCGCAGATCCGTTCGGCCACCTCCTTCTGAAAGGTGAGCGTCATGCAGGTGTCGTTGCGACGGAAAGCGCCTCGGCGCGCGGCCAAGTCCGCGTACCAGTTGATTAGCAGACGCGTGGAGATGGAAAAAGGAAGGTTTCCGATGAGATGGATGCGCTGCGTGATCTCCGGAATATGCTGTTCGATGTTGAAGCGCAGAATGTCGTCGTAGTAGATGTCCACCTGCATGTCGAGCGGACTGGCACATTCGCGCAGCAGCTGCAGGGTTTCGCCAAATCGCCGATCCTTTTCAACAAGGATCAGCCGTTGGGGCTGACGACGCAGAATGGAGCGAGTGATGCCGCCAGGCCCCGGCCCGACCTCCAGCACAATGTCGCGCGGATCAATGCGTCCCGCCGACTTCACGATCTTGTCTGTGAGTCGCTCGTCCATCAGAAAGTTCTGACTGAGCTGCTTCATGGCCTGCAGCTTGTAAAGCTTCACCAGCTCCCGGATGGTGGGCAGCGGGGGCAGCCGCATGCCACTGTTCAAAACGCGTGCCGTGGCCTGAGACATCTTCACGAGGAAACACATTAGTTGGATACTGATCGCACTGCTCGTGGCGTGATGTATGCTACTTACATTGTTGTGCAACGATTTCAACGGTTTCTCCCAGTGTCTGTGTGTGTGTTTGTGTGTGTTGGTAAAATGAAACAAAACGCTTACGGACTAAATAATTAACAGTGTTTTGGGGGGGGCGACTTTTAGTTGGTGTTGACCTTCTTGGGCTCCTCAAAGTCGTCCAGGAATTTCTCCTGCTGCACCGAGAATATGGAGTAGCCGTAGATGGCAACGACGGAAAGTCCCAGAGCGCCGGCAGTCAATATATTGTTGCGGCGCACACGCTTCAACTTCTGCACGCGGTCCAGGTTCTGCTCCTCGATCAGTTTCATGAACTGCAACTGAGCCCTGTCCAATTTTGGTGCGTTTTCTCCGTACTTGATCTTAGGTTCTTGCTCAGAAGCCGACATTATTTACGTTTCAAAATAGTACAAATTTCTTTGCACTTTTTGTCTGGTTGAAAATTATGAAATCCAGTGTGACCGCGAAATTATCGATAATATACCCAAATAAACTTTTTTATTTTCAAAATATACCGTAAAATATACCGATGAAAAACAATACATTTATATTAAATAAAAACGTAACAAAACCATATTATTTCATTATTGGATATACTTTTTTTCCTTTCTGCGTAGTCCTTAAAATACAAAACATTATTTTCCTTTATATTCACCCTATTCACTATCGTCATCACTTTCAATTTCCATTGGATTAAGGAAACGCCGTTTTTGTTCGGGTTCGAACAAAATTTTTTCTCTCGTAAATTTCTGTCTGTAAATCCATTTTTAATTTTTCTTTTTATTCATGTTACTTTAAAAAAAATGATTCCACTATCAGAGTGAACTCTCACTGGACTAGGCAACCAACAACAATATATCGAGGCATTGCACTTAAGGGGTATACACACTAGGAAATTATCAGTTTGACGTTTTTCGACACTAATCGAAGATCAAGTGCTTGCTCGCCAAAATCAGGCTTGGCTTCTAAATCCTCTGAAATTTGAGTTTCGTTTCCTCTCATTATATTGAAAAAGGTACCCGATAATAATTGTCACAATATGGCGTTTTTTTGAGAGTACTCTATTCGATGCACAGAAACCATACCATTATAGTCTCTGATTCTCCTGAACTTGCGCTGACAAAGGAGAGCTCCATCGAACTTGCAACTAAAGATAAAAATTCGGACTTGGATGTGGAATTCACCAGTGCAGAGAAGAAAGCGGTTAAGGCGCTTGTGAAGGTGCAAGGCACGTCTAAGGATTATGAAATTTTCCCTGGGCCAACCGACTGTGCCTAACTAATATTATGGGCTATTTTCCGATATTAATTAAAATAAATTCTAAGCAGCCAAAGTTATTTCCACCTAGTCAAAAATTATTTAAAATTTTACATTGTTTTTCATCAACAGCAGAATCAAAAAACAGCTGACTGCATATTGTCTGGTCACACTATGCCGCCAACGAAGTCAAAAAATCGCTAACAAATAAGTTTATCCAAGTTTAATAATCTTAGTTGCTGTTCGAGATTTAATTCTATTAAAAATGAATAGAAAAGAACAGTCCCAGCTGACTGCCAGGTAACAGCATTTCCCCCAAAGCACTCTTCTGACGGTTTTCCACACCGCGCAGCCGTTAGTTACAGCTACATACATCGAAAGCTGCTATTTAGTTTTCCTCCTATTTCGTTCAACGAGCTGCCTGCCAGTTCACTTTTGTTGGTGGGCTCGAGTGCAACGCGAAACGTGCTGAGTTTTTCGAAGCAATTTGTGGGGCAGGCAGCAGACAAGACGCGTTCCAGGCCTTGTCAATTCTGTTGTGCAGAGTGCTATTTTTTTACAAACAGCCAGAGGTCTAGGCAATCTCAGATTGGGAGCAAAAGCAAAATCAATTACGCGCTATTACCAGCAGTCGAGTCAGGAGGTAATTGCGCCTCAAAGTGCGTACTGGCTACGGGGAAAACTTCTTTTTCCCCTCAGCTAAAAGTTCCATATTGTGATGTGTAATGAAAAGACTGCTAAAATGTAGGCAAGTCGTGAAGATGGATTTTAAAAATGCGGAAATGAAAGTAAAATTTGCTTGCGTGTTTTGAAACTACATACTTACATATGGATGTATGTACTCTGAAAATCTCATACCCATTAAACACAATAACAACAAAGCAAAGGCAAAACAAACGCGTAATAATGCAGAAATCAGCTGTGTACCCACGGACGAAGACAGAGATAGCAACAGCAAAACACACTCCACTTGAGCGCCCAACAGCCCCAAGCTTGCCCCCTCTCCATCAATGACAGACCCAACAGCTGGTCGCGCTCTCTCGCTCTCTTGCGCTCACTTTGCCTTCTTTTGATTTGCTTTTTCCGCCCGTTTGTTTTGTTTTGTTTTTTGTATTACACACTTTGCCCGAGAGACTGGAAGACGTTTTGAATACCCTGGGGAAACCTTTTACTGTTATTATTTTATGAAATATTGCCTGGAATCAATATTAAATTGTGAAATTCAACTTTGCAGCAAATCCAAACGCGTTTCGTTAACCGCCGTCCGATTAAACGTTACGAATACAATACAAATCTACACACAGGCATAAGCATAATCAGTGGAAGTGAAGCAATAAAGCAGCTTTAGCCACAGCTACTCCAGCGCAGTCCAGCAATTAGTGCAGCTATCAAATCAACAAAGAAACTCCGAATCCCAGACAAGCCGCTGAGATGGCGTTCATTTCGAAAGACTTCCGATCACCTGGAGAGGCCTGGGTGAAAACTGACGAGGGCTGGGAGCGCCTAAAGGTGCTCGAGTGCGGCGGCAAACGCAAGCGGTAAGTCCATTCAGATTTTGACAATGGATCTGTTGGGGGGACTGTTGGCTGTTCCACTTGTGAAACATACGCCACACAATCGACAATTTGCATTTGTAAACGTTTCACTATTATCTCTCGATAATGGATCAATAATACCTTATCTCGTGTATCATTTTACTGCAAATAAATAAGTGTGAGAATTAATATGGACATACAGAAATCTCTAATCAGAGAGATAGAGAGATGGCAAGCCCGAGGAACCAGCAAAACCCTTGACCAAAATGTAGTTTCGGCTTTCCAAAGAGTACTTTAAAATGAGATCCTGGCAATGGCCTACTTTTAGAACATTTACATACATTTCTTATCGGTGAAATTTGCCAATGACTTTGGGTATAGTATTAGTATTACCTTGAACCATTTGTGGCCAAATATGCCTAGTCTATGAATGTTTTTTAATGTCTATCCGCACTCCCTTTCAACCTTATTTCTCTACACAGTGTAGCTAAGTTTTTCTTCATCGCATTATGCCGCTCAAATTGTGCAAGGTTTACCAGTCGATTGTAGGCATTGTTTGAGCTGCTATTCAACACCGAAATATTTAAATCATTCGGTTTAATGGACCCGTGTGCATTGATTGGGTCCACTGCCCACTCGCGCCATTGGAAGCAGTTGCCCAAAGCAAAGCCTCGGATAATTGCTGCGGAACAAAAGCAACGCAGACCACTTCCCCCTTGGCTGTAGTAGTAGTTGGTAAATGCCCATGAATATTGAGAAATCTACCAAGCCTCTCTGTCGTTGTGATTTATATGATACGAGTAGTGGATCTTGATTTCCACACCGCACCCTTGAGTGCGTATTCGTGGCCACTTCTGGTCTAGAGATTGTCCATTGGCTGAGTCACAGCCAAATGACGGTGAAAGCAGCAACTAATGTCCGGCTACTGCTAGGTGCAACTGATATTTCCAGCGAGTCGTACAGTGCATATCTCGGACACTATTGATCGATTGCCCATTTGATTGATTGCCACTGTTTGCTCTGTCGGCAAGTGGTGCAAAAAGTTTTGTCTAATGCAAAGAGCAGGGTTTTATTGGAGGTACATCCTGCTTGGCTCCGAATGCGTATTCTTTCCTCGCAAAGCGAGGAATCGATTAGAGATGGGGCTAGTGGAAAGAGCATGGCAGAACCTTGAGCTTTTGGGTGGCACACCCTCTCTCGCTTTCGCCTAAACTTGACCGACTTTCACGCCTACCCACGTCTACACGTGCATGTGCATGGTGGTGTCATTCGGGGATTGGAGTTGCCAAGGCTGCCAGTAGTCCTGCGTTCTGCTATATATATAAATATGTACGTACATATGTATGTATGTACTACCCGCACTCTTATGCACTTCCAATGTATATGTATATTTTCCCACCTTTTGTTCTTCTTTGCTTCTAATTTTGGAAGTCATTCGAGTTTCTTGAAACTACATATAAATATTTACATGTGTATGTGTGTGCGTGCCCCTAGAAAAACTTGAGTGGCGCTGCTGCTGCTTCCGCATTTTCCTCCATTTACCAGCACTGTCGAGAGTGTGCCAAAAATAGTTTCACCCACCGCCGCCTTTGGGTTCGATGCGTTCTTTATGACTTGTCACAAATGCACTCCAAATCTATGACATTTTCCGCATGTGCGTGTGTGCTGCTGTTTCTGTTTCTGTTTCTAGTACTGATTTTGTCTTATTTTCTCACGTCCGACCGCACGCTTATCTCAACGACTGGGAGGTCAAATCCCTTTTGGGGTTTCGTAAAGCTCTAATCAGCGTGTGCTCTTTTCTACGTGGATGCTTGAAAGCAAAGCTGGTGCGCAACAGGCCGCTGGACGCGGGCTCTCGCACTGATTGGGTTGTGGAACGCATTGTGTCCGTGCTGGATTCCATTTGCTCATCGATAGTGCGCTATTGGGAAGTGGAGCATGACCATGGCTTGCACACGTAAGACGGATAGGCAAGTGCGTTTTCCCCCAAGCTTAGAGCATTCCCAGGAAAAGAAGAGATCTCAACATTTTGTGAGCGTTTCATAACCGTGTTAATCACTCGTCTCGGGCATTACTCAACGCCTGTCTTTCTTTCCTTCTTTCATTTGTGTCTTTCTTTTTGGCCAATTAAAAATGCAATGCTCAATGCACGGCACTGGCACTGGCACTGGCACTCGCACTGAGCTGAATCCATTAGATAATGCCTGAAAATATAATAATTAGAAATTCCAAATTGCCTGTAAAAGCAAATCCAAAGTGCCTACGCGGACGTGCCAGCTCGGACCCACTTTCACTGCACTGCACACTCTTCGTTGAACATCTGCGAACAGATCATCGAAATGGATCGGATCGGAACGGAACGCCTTTGCTCTTGTTTTTGCCTTTCGATCGGCTTTGCTTTACTTTTCTTTTGGTTTCTGTTCATTTTTCATACTTTTTACCAACTCGTGAGGGTGAACAGATCGACATTAGGCATCATTTTTCACTGGTTTTTTATACACTTATTTATTACATGCCAGAGTATATATTTATGTACTTGTCTTTATTTACATATTTACGAAGCTGATTCATGGACTTGAACTTGAGAGTATAATAAATGCCACAGCACTATCATTTCAGTTATGATGTTTTATTTCTATAAATCGATTTGCATGGTCTCAGTTTTACCATAGATGCAAGTGCCAACCCCATCTACATCTCCATTTAGAGTTCCACAGAATTATCTAATTTTGCAACCAAAAGTTTCCACTCAATTCCCAATGGGCACCATGCTGCATCTATGTGTGTATCTCTCTCTGTGATCTGTGATCTGTGATCTCTCCGAATTCTTCTAAATTTAGACGCAAAGTTGAGCACAGCTCACGGTGCTCTCTCCTTCCTCTGCTGGCTGTTGTTCAGCTCCATTCCCAATTATTTATGTCGAAAAAGGTCACAAACTTAAAAATAGACAAAAAGCGATTTGCCTGTCACGGCCCTGCTGCTGCACTTCTTTTCATTTGTTTAATTCGCTTGGAGAAAAGGTAAACGAACGCTCGATGGTGACGTCGTTGAGTGATTTATGTGAATCACGTGGTCGACGGCCCCAGCCGGCGCGGCACGGTCTGATGCCTGGGGACTGACTCTTGTACATACATACATATGTGCCCCGTGGGCTGGTCCGGAGTCAGAGGCAGAGTTGGAGTCACTGGCTGGCTGCACAAGACCTGCAATTTCATTGTTTCGCCCGCTATTTTTATACGAATCCGCAGATAATTGCGCGTTCATCTAAACACTGCAACTGCGACTGTCAGTCCTGAACGAAATAAAAAATAATCAAAAAAAAATCAGACACACACTCTGATTGCAATAATAAAATTGAGGTCTAGGCGTGCCATTTCTTTGTCTGCGATTACCAACCCAATACGAACTTTCAATTTGAGTATCTCTGGTGTCACATCTACAAGATAAGGCTCAAGTTTATAGGAAAATTAACTGCTAAATATTCCCTGTGGATAGGCAAACATTATGTGGAAATTGTAAATCTATAAAGATTGAAAAGTAATGCAACCCAAGAGTAAGTCCAAAACATTTTTAACATACATTCCTCGGAGATAAATATGTACATATCATTTGTACATATTCGTATGTGAGTGATTTGGCCAATAAAAGCGTTGACCTACTTGCTACGCCAGGGTCCAGGGCAGGCGGCAAGCGCTCGACTCCCTCGGCGTGAGCCAAAAGCTTTCGCCAGTTTCGTTCTACTTTCGTCTACTTTTCTTTGACTGTGTTGTGTCCCTGTCCCCTGTCCCTGTCTCTGTCTCTGTCTCTGTACCGTTGCCCCCTCTGAGCACTTTTCCAACACTTTGCGCATCTCCGGTTGCCATGCTTTGGCTTTGTGGTCCGTCCAGTGGGACTTTCGAGTGGATTACAACTGATTACGCAGCGTGCCTAATCCCAGCTGCAGTCCACAGCTGATGCAGGATTTAATTTACTCTCCACCGCAAGGACACCAGCGAGGCAGCGAGTCACCCAGTAATCGATTCGAGCTGTGGATCGATGCGCCTTGACCATTTATGGTGCCACCGTCCGACGAGGACGTGTCGTGGCCTGTCATGTCCTTGGTAGCCACACAAAATTGTTTTTGATTTCCCTCCAAACTGGGTCAGAGTTTCAGCTGGTCCCTGCCACAGCTGCACTTTGTCTAATTGAAGCTCCCCCCACCCCGATAATTGCCGTTCTTATCGCAGGTTTTTATTCGTTGGCAAAACTTCAACTTTGTTGAATTTCAAGGCCGAATCGATAGCGGAATGAGAGTTCATTCAATGCTTTATCTACAGAGAGTGAGTGGGTTCAATATAAATGTATAGCTAGTCAAAGAAACATATACATTTTCATGTTCAAAACCAATTCCCGCCCACCATTTATCTCTTGCATTTCCTTCTGCAAAATACATAATTATCCTCCAAATCGAATGTACAAATCCCACAAATTATGCGACCCCCAGCAGTTGTAAATATCGTTAAAAACTTGACACACGGCTGGGGGTTTCCTCTTTGCCGATTTAATAACCGGGTCGACTAAGTGATTCGACACATCGAATCGAGTCCCACAGATGCTGGGAAACGGCGCCAGCTTCCGCCTCTTGAAAAGCGTCTAACGCGTGTAAAGCACAAACAGAAAACAGACAAAAATGACCAAAAACATATCCAAAGCAACTGGCCAAACAGGTTGTCCTCGGACCGAGACATGGGGCAGGGGACAGCGACAGACACGAACACTTCCGAAATGTTGCATTGACAATGGACAATGGACAATATCTTGTTGCAGGCACAACTCGGAGGGTAGCAGCTACCAGATGCTGGCCAGCGATAGCCAGGATGAGGAGGAGGAGGGTGCCATCATGCCACCGCATTATCACATCACGATCCGCTGCACGCGGGAGATCGCCGGCTTCAACGGACTGAGCGAGGCGGTGAAGCGCCTTGACTTCCGGCGATCGGTGCGAGATCGGAAGCGCTTCCATTACATCTGTGCATTCCTGCTGCTGGTCTCCAACAAGGGCATCGCCAGTCTGCCGGGCAGTGCGCAGCGACAGCTGCTCCAAATGGTCGAGGAGGTGGCCTCGCATGGTGAGTCCTCCATGGATGATTCGTGCGCGATCCGTCTTAATCCTCGCTCCTCTCTTTTGCAGTCAATGATAGTCAGCAGCATCCGAATGTGCTGCGGGGGCTTGCGCTGAAGCTTGAGCAGATTGTCAACCAGGAGAACCAGAAGTGCTGGGGCAAGCCGTTGGGCAGCACCTACCTCTGGAAGGAGCACATGGCCACAATCAAGCGCATACAGCGCGTGGCCAGCCAGATCGAGATACGAGAGGTGAGAGCGAGCTACGAACTTACCATGAAAACTATTTTTCATCTCTTATTCCTTACGCATTATCTTTGCAGCCCGATCCAAAGGCCAAGCCCAAGCTGCACGAGCTGCCGGAGGAGTGCGTGCGAGAGATTATTCTGTGCATCGCCGATCATCGGGATCTGGAGTCGGCCGCCAAGGCCTGGGACACCATGGCCAAGCTAGTGTCGGAGCAGCGCATCTGGCGCGAGCTGACGCGCTTCCACTTCAATCAGCGGCAGATCCACGCCATCCTGGACCTGGACAAGTTCAAGCAGATGGGCGAGATCAAAGACTGGAAGCAGATCTACCACCAGCTGCGACGCACGTATGGCGTCAACGATGACTACCAGTTCGCCGAGGTGCTGGCTCTGTGCCGCTCCTGCTGCTGCCTCTTCTGGCCCTCCGACGGACATCCCTGCATTGTCGACCAGAGCCCAGACTACAAACAGCGCCTGGAGGAGGCGGGCGGACAGCTGGCTCTAGCCCAGCCCGTGCCGCCGGCACAGTTCTTAAAGTATTTCTCATTGTAAGCGACATTGTAAGCGGGTTGGGTACGAGTATATGCGGTGCAGTTTCGGGTGCGTTGGAGCAGTGACCAAGGGAGAGAGAGTAAGAGATAGCAGGAGATATTTTTATGGAGAGCAATCGATAATTGTACTGGAAACCCCCACAGCTAAGTTGTTGTTGGCTGCGTATGAGAGTTTTTATGTGCGTGTTAAAGTTTTAACCCTGGACAGAGGAGGAGAAGGAGGAGCAGCGAAAAGAAAGCAGAAAGTGATACAGAAAATCCCTAATCTAAAACTACCTACAGCCTCGTTTCGAGACAGTTCCCCCAACAGTCATTATTGTGGAGAGACAGTCCCAGTGTGATCAGTGTTCAAATGATCCTGTGATCTATGATCGGGAATTGCTTATTAGTAGAACTTCTTTCTATGACAAATGGCCAAATGAACTGCCACAAACACGACAGCTACAGCGAGTGCGAAAGCAACAGCGATTATATTTTCAAAATGGAATGAAGCCAAGCCAAGAAGCGAGTACTAAATACTGAGAGACTATTTTTTAAATAGCAGTACGCAAGCGTACACAATACGAGTGTAAAGTAGAATAATAATTGCTATAAATCTGTTCATTTTTATGCAATTTTGATCAATCTATTTTAGGGTTTAAGTGTAGTTTCTTTTAACAGCTGCTTTTGGTGCTAAATCTTGTTATAAGTTGCAATCAAATCCAAATCAAATCAAATCAGCCTGCCCCAACCAATTCAATCCAATTCGTTACGACTTGTAGAGAGTTCCTCCAGCGTCGAGGAGCTAGAAGAGAAGGAGAAAAAAAAACCATGTGATGTTGCAAGGAAGCAAAGCTAGAAACGAATACACCTACCTAAACGATAACAACAAAAAAACAAACAAATCTCCAAGCGATATGCCGTCAGCAATGCTATACGTACATTAACATTAACATATACATATACAAATATATATAGATACATACATATATATATAAATATTAGAGATCCTCGCCAGCTAAGTGTAAGAAGTCTCAGATCAGCATGTAGAAAATCCCCAAGAGAGAGTAAAAGAACAATTGTTAGCCCTCCCAATCAACACACCACTCTCTCTGAGCAGCAACGAATAATGTTGATTGTGTACTATATGTAGATACAGCCAGGCCCCCCCCCCCCCCAATCCAGGCGTGGGTGAGTGTTGTTCCGATGTCCCCGATTATCTATTGTTACTATTACCAGTGTAAGTACGAAAGTTTTAGCATTCTAATGCTTTTGTTTGCCACCATTTCTATGGGCAAAACAAATCTCTTATTTTACGTTATAAAATAAAGTCTAAACTATCTGTGGATCAATGCAAATGCAATGTTTGTCTTTCTATAGCTAAAGGAAGTTAAACTTTCCTGCATAAGCTTTGAGGGTAAAAGGCACAGCTCCAAGGCTTTGGCTCTATCGACCAAACAATCCGTTGCGTTGCCTTGAATACCTCCAGCTATCTTGAGGCAAAGGCAATCCCAGTTCCAGTCATTTGTCGTGGCTGCAAAAAAAGAGCGAAAAGTGTTGGTTAAAAATGGATTTTATATTCAAAAAGGAACGACGTTCCTTTGGGGCACGCGTGCACTTTGAGGACAAGGATGAGGTGGTGTTCAGCGAGAACTCCAATCCGGAGCTTGTGAAGAGTTTCATACTGAAGAATCCGGTGGACAGGGTTACACAATATGCGGGCCAGACCTCGCTGAGCGTGGCCAATACGGAGCGGGCCACGTACAAGAGCACCGGGATAACGCACAATGAGGGCGGCTGGCCGAAGGACGTCAACATGCACGACCCAGAGCAGACGGTGCGCTACAAGCGCAAGATCGAAAAGGACGAGAACTACATCACGCAGGTGATGAACCTGACCAAGCCCATGGAGCACTACATACACCAGAATAACGCAGTGAACATCTACGAGAATTACTTTGAGAACTTGGACCCAGCACCGCTGCCGGAGCCGTGCAAGTCGCGCACTGTCAATGTCTACCGCGATCCGAATCCCATCAAGGTGCCGGTGAAGCATCTGTCTTGGTCACCGGATGGCGGCATTAAGATGGCTGCGTCCCACTGTGACATGAAGTTTCAGGGCGAAAAGATCGGACAGAAGTGCAACTCGTACATTTGGGAGGTGGAAAATCCCAACGAGCCCTTCCTGACGCTGGAGCCAAAGGTTCCCTGCGTGTGTCTCGAGTACAACCAGAAGGATCCGACCAGCCTGGTCAGTGGAATGTACAACGGCCAGGTGGCGGCCTGGGACACGCGGCACGGCAAGCATCCGGTGATGATTAGCGAGCGAGAGGTGTGCCATCGCGATCCGGTCAACTCAGTGCTGTGGAACAACTCGAAGAGTGGCACCGAATTCTTCTCCGGCGGCTCCGATGGTCAGGTGTTGTGGTGGGACACACGGAAGCTCAGCGAGCCCCTCGATCGGCTGCTCATGGATCCAGTGAAAAGCGACGAACAGGATCTGTCGCGGTCCTACGGCATCTCGGTGTTGGAGTACGAGACCACGATACCCACGAGATTCATGGCGGGCACCGAAATGGGCATGTTGTTCTCGTGCAATCGCAAGGGCAAAACGCCCACAGAGAAGATCCAAATAAGGGTAAGTGTGAGCCATCACAGTGGGGGTTCAGCTCTGAGTAAGTAGTTTTGTCACTGCAGATGATGTGCCACTTGGGACCCGTGTATGCCATCACCCGGAATCCGGCATTTGTGAAGAACTTCCTCACGGTGGGCGATTGGTGTGCGCGTATCTGGTCCGAGGACTGCCGCGAGAGTTCGATTATTTGGACCAAGAGCAGTAGCTCCATGCTCACCGATGGTGCCTGGAGCTATACAAAGTGAGATGCTACCCAAGCACGTTATGTGCGGGCCGATTCTTATTCTCCATGCCATTTCCAGGGTATCGCAGTTCTTCATTACACGCATGGACGGTGTGCTGGACACGTGGGATCTGCTGCAGCAGCAAAACGAGCCAATTCTGACTGTGAAGGTGTGCGATGAGCCGCTCTACTGTGTGCGGACCAACGAGAATGGAAAATTCGTCAGTTGTGGCAGCAAACTGGGCGCCACGTTCCTAATCGAGGTCTCCGACAATATGGTTATGTCGGCCAAGAACGACAAACCTCTGCTGACAGCGGTAGGAACTAGCTTCCAACCATCTAGCTACATCCAAATTTTAATTATTTACTTGTACAGATGTTCGAGCGGGAGAACCGTCGCGAGAAAATCCTGGAGGCCAAGTCGCGGGAGAGCAAGCTGAAAGTGAAGGCAAACCATGGTCAGGATCAGGCAGACATTACTATGCTCAATGGAAAGATCAATATGGCACCCTTTGCCAGTGCCTGCGAGCAGGCGGCCAGTGAATACTTTGCCGCTGTGGAACAGGAACGTTTGCGACGGCTGCCCGGTGGAAAGCGTAGGTGAACAAAGCAGCTTCGCCCGCTCAATGGTTATGGAATTTTCACTAATTTATCTTACATTTCCTTTACCTTTCAGAGGATGCGGAGGAGGCTGATGTGTCGGAAGCGGAAAGCTCAAAGCTATAAATGTAAACCACTTTAAATATATCCATTGAAACACACACAAATGTGGTTCAATTATTTAAATCATATCGGCAAAATGGTAGAAAATAAGTGTTGGACAAGACCAGCTGATGCAACGGTTCTTTCGCCCACGAGCTGAGTCAGTTCAAAGTTATGTTCCAAAAATTATTGAACAAATTTAGTATTATCGGATAGTTTGTTCAATTGGTTTCTAACGTAATTCAGTGATTTTAGTTACTTTTCCAGAATTTAAAATCATAATTTTCCCCCAAACGATATATCGATGCGCAGTTATAAAACCATCGATTGTGTCATCGATGTTTGAACTTGAGGGCAAATGTACTTCCACACGCGGTTTTGTTGATAAATTAGTAAATAGTAGTAAATTTACGTCTGAATGGTAGGTGCAGTGTGCTCTTTAAAAACAACAAATTAAAGGTACATAGCAACAAGTTAAAAAATAAACAGTGCCAAATTCAAGAGGGAAAATGTGCCAAAATAACACTCGACAACACAGCACATAAACATAACTAACAGCTGTGCCTCGGGAATATTTCATAATCCACATCCCCTTCGTATCGCATTGCAACAACACATTAGAATAAAGGGCAAGGGCAAAACCAGAATGTCATCCACTATTTCGTGACATTTTCATCGATGCAATCCAAATTAATTGACCCGACAGCGAAGACACCAACCCTGCAACCGTGCCTTGTTGCACACTGTGTGGCCTACGTGACTCAGAAACAGTTATCAATGGCGCAACGTGCGAGTATACGAAAGTTCAGTGACCAATTTCTATGCAGCAGCGGCAGCGCAACCCCCGAACCCAGACAGCAGCAGCACTTAACGTTCACGCGGCATTGAAGTTTGAAATTCTCTCATTGTCAGTCAGTCTGCTCCTGTTAAATAACCAGTAAATTAATCAAATAAAAATAGAACTACTGTCGCACGCGATTATATTCTTAGCATAATTGAATAGTGAGATCTCGTATACCTTTTGTTCGCATTGGCTACAGGGTATTTACTACACCAATCGTAAATGCAACGAACCTTGGCGCGGCTCTAATTTGAAAGTTGCTGCAAAAAGTGATTCTAAAGGTGAGGTTGCGCCTGAGTCATTCGATTTTTTGCTTTGTTTTGTTTTGTCGTGTGCTAATTATAAGAATTCGGGTTTCTGTTCCGGTTGCAGCCGGTGACTTGGCAGTTAGAGGGGGCCTGTCCTTCCATTCCATTCGCGTCCGCAGTCACGTACGCCTGTCGACTCACATCGACATCTGATTCGGTTGTCTGTTTATTTGCTGAATTTGATTTTACGCATTTCAAATCTACATATTTGCTGGGCTTAATCCATCAATACTCATTTGAGTTCAATTTTCTGGTTTCTGCAGCACTATGTTGGACTTGATCCAGCCAGGCAGCGAGCTGCTGAGCACCAGCACCAGCAATATCATGAACAACAACAACAACAGCAGCGATGTGGTTGTGGTGCGAGCCAAGCCCAAGAAGGTGTTCAAGCCAAAGGCCCGCATCAATCGCATACCCCAGGAGCTGCTCGATGACCCCGTGCTGCAGCAGGCCATCGGCCGCCTGCCCTCGAACTATAACTTTGAGCTGCACAAGACTATTTGGCGGATACGCGAGATGAAGGCGAAGCGCGTGGCCCTGCAGCTGCCGGAGGGTCTGCTGATGTACGCGATGGTCATCAGCGACATCATCGAGCGTTTCACCAGCGCCGACACCGTCATCATGGGAGACGTCACGTACGGTGCCTGCTGCGTGGATGACTACACTGCCAAGGCTCTGGGCGCGGAGCTGTTGGTGCACTATGGTCACAGCTGCCTGATACCCGTGGACCAGACCTGCGGCATCAAAGTACTCTACATATTCGTGGACATCAAGATCGATCCACTGCACTTCCTCGACTCAGTCAAGCTGAACTTCAAGCCAGAAGTGGGCCAAATAGCCCTCGTCAGCACGATACAGTTTGTCACCACACTCCAGGCCGCCTCAACGGAGCTGAAGGCTGCCGGCTATGATGTGATAGTGCCCCAGGCCAAGCCCCTCAGTCCGGGCGAAATACTGGGTTGCACCTCCCCGCAGCTGCCGGAGACGACGCAAATGATTATCTATCTGGGCGACGGGCGCTTCCATCTCGAGTCTGCCATGATTGCCAACCCGCTGCTTAAGGTTTGTTTTTGCCCACTTCCCACTTGGAGATGCACTAAGACTTTTTCTTTTGTTATTTCACGCAGGCCTACAAGTACGATCCGTATGAGAAAAAGTTCACATTCGAGCAGTATGACCACATGGCCATGCAGGATCTGCGTCTGGGTGCTGTGCAGCGCGCCAAGAAGGCACGACGCATCGGCATCATTTTAGGAACGCTGGGCCGGCAGGGCAGCTCAAGAGTACACCGATTTCTGGAGAAGCGACTGCAGGCCAAGGGAATCGAGACCACAACCATATTGCTGTCGGAGATCTTCCCCCAGAAGCTCGCTCTGTTCGCGGACATCGATGCTTTTGTGCAGATAGCCTGCCCCCGTCTCTCCATCGATTGGGGCTCGGCGTTTAGCCAGCCTCTTCTGAATCCCTACGAGCTCTCCGTGGTGCTGGGCGATGTGGAGTGGACGCCTCACAATGCTTCGCCGCGCAATAGTGCATATCCAATGGACTTCTATGCTAGCGGCAGCCTAGGCCCCTGGACACCCAACTTCAAACCGCCCGCCCTAGGAGAGTGCGAAAACAAGCCCTCAGCCGACTGCTGCGGCCGCTGTACGCGAGCCGAGCTGGAGAAGGACGACACCGGCAAGGCGGCAGCATTGGCCGATCTGCTGGACTATAAAAAGGGATAAGCGCTGTGCTAACTCTGCCTCTGCCTAGCAGCCACACAGAGCCCTCCATCTCATGCGACCTTCTGCTAAGTTATTTTCATGTTAAGGTCGTCTGTCCAAATATAATGCTTACCTACTAATTTAGTTAGTACAAAATTTGATTTTTAAGGCTTCTAATTTAGATTATTCATGTGTTCAGATCAAATTTACATATATATGCGATTTGGGTGTGCTCTCAATGGAATCTTTTTTTAAGTTCTAGCAATTTAGTTGAATTTTCTATGTTTATTTCCCATAGCGATGCAATTGTTATAATAACAGCAACAATTTACAATGCTCTTTAACATTAAAATAATGTTTAAAACAATGCCAACTGTTGAACATCTTTTTTGAGTGAAAGTCTTGTCATCGATTTCATAGAATATTTTGCATGGAATATTTGTTTGATAAATTTAATTTTATTGCAGAAACAGTATCACGTATATTTAAAATATACACAAACAATTACGCTAAATAAATTTGAGCTAAACAATTGGCTATTCGGTTGTATGTACAATTGAACTAAAATTGATTAGATTGGCTAAGATATTGATTTGACTAACTAACTATAGTATATACAATTGAACTATCGAATTGACTATAATTTACAATTATTTAATTTGAAGCTAGTTGGCTGACACTGCAAGCGCCAAGTGGGGGCTGAAGTTCTGGAGTTGTTGATTCCATGTTGTCTTGGTTGGTCCTAGTCCTCGTCAGTTGCACCTCAGGCTCTGCCACGCTCTTGCGGCGTGGGTAGTAACTGTTGCCAGTAGCTGCTGGATGTTGACGGTTAGAACTCAACGCTTGCAGTGCAGGTCGACTACAGTCAGCACAAGCGCTTATATACCATAGCACTCGTACTTCCGCAGGTAGCGATAAATATTAAAAAGGATATTGCCTTTCTAATGACTTTGACCTTGGAGAAAATGCCATTGCTAGTCCATGGAATTCCAGGGAAAAGATAGCCGCGGGCAGACCTGGAAATGTTCAGGGAAAACACTTATGTTGATAGCAAGGAAAATATGCACGTAAGTAGGTAGGTTAGGGCTTCAGATAAAGAATTTCCAGCGAACCGGATCTAATGTTGTTTGTGTCTTTAATATTTGTTTATTGTCCTTAAAAATAATTCCTAGTTTGCAATTAAATTGAAAGCCTGGCAACATTTGAGTTGGCCTCCTTTTACATATAAATTCATAATAGTAACATTTACTACACTTATTAAATGGTAAATCGAGTTTTTTATGAGTTTCTTTAATATTTGGTTGTACATCTAATCAGTCGAGTGTGCTGCCTCACTTTTAATCTCTGTTTAATCAGCGGATTCTTCCCGCAGCAGAGAATTTCCACGAATTGTTTCCTTAAGGTTTTGAATTACTTCGAGCAGTTTCTTTCGATCATCTTTGAGATTGAAAACTTCACGCCGCAGGGAGGTCCTAAAAATATACAAATACAAATTATATTGTAGCCATGGTCTAGTGTATAGAAAAGTTCACAGTTTCTTACACTTCATGCTCCAAATGTCGTACATAAGTGGCATCTTCTGTATCGATGATCTCCACCTCGTCCATGGAGTTCGCGCTGGCTTCCACAAATTCGAGCTGGTAATGTAGTTGGTCTTCCGCAAAGTCCGTTTCTTTAGACTGTTGTATCACGCTGGTTGAGTTCTCATCCAGGCCTTCTAAGTCTGTGGCAAAGTCACACAGCTCCACTTCCACTTCTTGCTGCACATTGCTTACTTCCTTTCTTTTTACGGAGCGCCTCTTTTTCATGGGCGACTTTGTCACCGTTTCGGGGCGCTTGAGTGTGGGACATGAGCCAGTCTTTAGTATGGTTGGATTCTTTTGACTGAATCCAAACTCGTATTGCATATTCCTTTCGAAATCTTCCAACTTAAAGTGCTCGTTGCAAATGCAGGCTGTTCAAAAAGTCTCAATGATTAGTTTCTTCCACTTTGGAGGATGAAGGGTTATACCTGTCAAGGGGTTTAATGCATCCCGGTCGCAAAACTCGATCCATTTTACAAGCTGGGGATTATATTTCGGAAAGCGAAAGTAGCGCCACTTCCTTTTGTTTTCTTTTTCATTGTTATTTCCACAATTTCTAACAGCACAACGCATTTTGTCTTGGATTGGAGCAATAACAATTTTTATTTACTTGTATCAAAATGAATACTATCGATATGCATGGATGTTCGGCACTTTACAACACCTTTTAGTCAGCTGCTCCACATTCATTGTTTTGTTTTGTTTATTCCTGGGTTTATTATCTTATTTTTGAAATTATGTTAAAAAGCAGCAATATTAATAGGTAATGCATTGGTTTTAATTAATGTGTTGCCAAAAATGTGTTTAATATTCCGCTATAGCGTCATCAGTGAGCAGCTCGCGGCCGATCAGACAGCCAGTGACCGAAGGAACCGCCTCAATGCGGCTACGAAAGCAACAACCGACAATTCCACCTGTTGGTCAGCCATCAACCAGGATGCTTTGGGTGGCAGTCTTGCGGCGGTGCAACTATCCGCTGGGGTGCTCCAAATAGCAGAGCCACCGCTGGATCGTGTGCGCAGCCAGCTGAGGGAACTGATGTGAGTAGCGTCAAAAGCATTGCCGTTCGTTCCCTTAATGAATGTGTCTGGTTTTTTGTGTTAGTGGCAAACAAAACAAGATCTACATTGACCTGTCCAAGGAAAAGTACAAGCTAGACTGCAGTGAAGTAGCCAAGCTAAATGATATGGTGAGTGGGGGAACAAGAGAAGATACGAGCAGCAGTCCACTGATAGGCTGTGCCTGCAAATGCAGAAACAATTTCTATTCTGAACTTTATATTTAATTATTTACTAATCATTGGCATTTCAAGAATATTTTTCACAATCGTAATCTCCATTAATCATACATACAATTAACGTGCCGTTTTTTCATTTGTGTGTAAAGACGCACGCAAAACGGAACATTTCACTAATTAGGTATTGGTACGAATAACTGTAATACGCCTGTATGTGAGCGGCAGCGCCTTGTCCTTTACCCTTTAGACAAGGCCGTGCCGAGCACTGGTCTAAAAAGAGTTGCTAAGGCACAATTGGTATAGCATTAAGCATAAGGTTGTTCGGTTAAACGAAATCTTATCACTGGCTATAGGCAAATGCCAATAGTCTGGGATCTTATCTACAGGAAATCCACGAAGCAAAGTAATAGCATTCGTAAAGTACGTGTTTTTATGGGCCATTACTTTGTATTTATTAGATGGGCGACGTGAAGCGCTACAAGGAAAAGCTGACGCGTGTCAAAAGGGAGATGCAGGGTATCTACCAGCGCACCAAAGAGTTGAAGGTACGAAAATAAACTTTATAAGTGCATAAAAACGAAAAGACACAAAAGAAAACACATGCAAGATCTTCACTTAAACGTTTATTATCTTTGAATTTGCGATTACAGAAACGGGCCGCGAACGTGGCGGCATGCAAGCAGCGTGATTACCAGCGCAAGCTCGAGCGGCAGCAGCACGAAGAGTCGCTCATTGGCAGCCAGAAGACGCAGTAGACGCAACCAGCGTCTGGCAGCTTAAAATAATATTTGGATTTCCCACATTAACAACTAACTAAGTACTAAATACACAACACAACAGTAGAACAAAAGTTGGACCATATGGAAAAAAACAATATTAATAATTAATTGTAAAAGTGTATATGCATGTTCATATACATATGTTATGCAGTGTTACATTGTTGACTGTAATTTAGTTGTATAATTAAGTAAATACTTTGGAGATTTCGCCACAGAACGAGGCCACATGCAGGCAGAGCCAGGCCATGCCAGGCCGGAGCAAGGAGCCAATCGAATAAATTTAACTACAAATATTAAATAATATAATCATATGTTAAACATTAAGATTAAGTGGTGTGTGAGAAACAATATTTAAACATTCACAGCTCCAAAAGCAGCGGCTTGATATTTATAGTTAAATTCATAGTAATAATTGATCAGGAAAAAATCTTAAGACATGCATCAGCCTGCTGCACTGGTAGTTCTACAATTAATTAAGAATTGTTCATACTGAAAATGAGGGGAGAGTGTTTTTGTGAGTACGCAGCATGCACGCAGAGAGGTTTCACAGTTTGTATAACTACTAAACTAAAGCACGTTTACAATACAATCATCAATCATCAAACTACATCAATATCCATTCAACATGCAGCATTAAAGGTGGAAAGATGTCGGTGTGGAGTGGTGGAGCATTCAGCGGAACAGTAGAGGTTTGTCCCTTAATCGTTTCTTGGTGGTTGTTGGTGTTACGATCTTCTTAGCTAACTCTACTATACTCCTGATCATTCAGCATGTGCATTGCATCTGTCGGTGCGAGATATTTGACAGTGCCTAAAAGTATCAGAATTTTCATTAGTTAAGTAATAAAAATGAAAGCAAAATTATTAATTTAATAAGCAGGAATTTTCGTTATCAAATCGATGTTCTTTTGTTTGTTTTTTTTTTATTAAGAAACAATATCCAATGGCCATTTATTTAAAGTTAAAAGATCATCTCACTGATCGTGTAAATTAATTTTGAGCTTCTTTTCTGCACCTGAGAGAGCGTCTATGTGTGGTCCAGTAAATGGCAAATATTAACTTAAATATCTATCTGGTAATACGTTATTTAGCTGCATTCAAGTCATTGAAAATTTTAAGTACATTTGCCACATTCTCGGTAGCGTCTATTTTCTATGGCTCTTGCTTAATACTTCTATAAATTCATGGAGCTATCATCTATGGATACCGAACTGCTCATCAGCTCAGATCGACATCGCTGAACCCGTCATTTTCTTTCTTAATTGAGCGTACTTCAGGCGTGTCTTTTGGCTTAGCTGCCTCCGAGGATGTAGATGCGGAAGCGGAACCAGTTGACACCCTACCCTTACCGTTTTCATCAGTGCTGCCATTTCGCTGCAGGAACATCTGAATGGAGACATGCACAACGAATATGATGAAGGCGGCAATGCCGAAGATCTCGAAAGTGGTGCGCGGATCGCCATTGAATAGAATGCCGCCAATCAGGCTGCCCATGGAGACGCCAACGCCCTCGAATATGGCACCCACCAGACTCTGTGTGGAGGAACAGGCAGTATAAGAACCGATTATGATCAACATCTTCGATGTAACGTACCTGCATGGTTGCCTCAGTGCCGGGTGGTGCCACAATGCTGGCATAGGAGGCCATTGTAGCGTAGAACAGGCCAAAGGTGACGCCATTCAGTAGCTCTATGGGCAGTATGTACCAGGGATTCTGCAGCATAGAGTACAAAATGAAGCGTACACCAAAGCCAAAGAGCACCAGGCTCATGGCATTCACATGCCCGATGCGCTTCAGTATCCAGCCCGACAGGAAGAAGAACGGCAGCTCGCCGCCAAAGCATTGGATGGCCATGACGAGACCCTCCAGTGTCTTGATGGAGCTGCCACAGCCCATGTACTGCTTGTCCAGCAGCTCCAAATACAGGAACAGAAAGTTCCAGATCAGCGCCGTGCCAAAGCCAATGGCCACGCACCACAGAAAGAAGATGACACAGCGCAGGGAGAGAAACATTTGGCCAACATCCTTCAGTATGTTGGAAGACAAGTGTGTTTGGGTGACCTGCAATAAATCGTTAGAAAGGAAACAGAATGGATAGAGCTGCAAACTCACCTTCAGCTTGGAGGAGGCAAGCACATCGAAGCCCATTATAACGAGCGCCATGCAGAACACAACCGTGTAGTTTTTGTTGGCACTGCCGTTCGACATGTGATCGACCAGGACCCCAGCAAGTAGCGCAAAGATACCCCAGCCAAGCGAGCCGCACAGCCGCTGCTTGCCATACAAATGATGGCGATCGCCGAGGATGCCAAAGCAAATGGCATCGCCAATGCTCACCACCACGGCCATGCCCATCCAACTGATGATCAGCATGCCGAAGAAGAACCAGAACTGAGGCTGTGCCATTGCGCTCATCGTGTTGATCACGGGGCTCTCAGAGAGCTGCTCCTTCAGGTAGTCATCGTGGCAGTCCATGCGGCAGCTGGCGTTGAAGTACTGCTTTCCCGCTGGACAATAGAGCGGCACGCTTTGGCCTGCCACCTCGCCACGATCTTGGGGAATCATGAAGAACAGGCAGTCAGCTTCCTCGACAATGTCCTTCATGTTGATGCTGGTGCTGAAGTTCAGCTGCGGATTGGTGCGGTTTGCCGCACAGTTTTCCGTTTGATTCTTCAGCCAATCCTCGCACACAATGTCCCACATGAAGGGCTCGGCGTCGCACTGCAGATCGCAGGCGAGTGTCTGATTTCCGTAGAACAATTCCATATTATTCTCCACGCACTCACCGTGCTCCGAACAGTGCCTAATGCTGGACACGCCTGCGTGGCAGTGGAACTGCACCTGGGGCAGTGGCTTGTCTATGGCCGGCACAAACATAATCATAAAGAATGCAATGCCAGTGATCACTTGTCCACTGAGGAATAGCAATCGATGTCGATGGTAGCTGCAAGTGGGAACAATGAGAGATCGAGTCACGGAAAGGGTGAGAGATAGCTCTATTTACCGATCAGCTATGTAGCCAAAGAGCGGCTTTGCCAGCATTCCAATGATGGGCAATATCATGTACATGGTGCCCACCACCACCGAGGAATAGCCCAGCTGCTGGGCCAGTGTCGGCATAAAGGGTACAACGGGTGCGGTGCCTGAAAAGCGAGAACAGCATTTAGAACATAATAGATAATGAGAACAGAGACAAATGTTGATAAGCTGATAAGTAACTAAACTAATCTACATAAGCGTATTCATATTTATGCAGCTAAATCTGATACGTTCTATGTGTGTACATAATGCCTGGGCATTTGGGGCAGCCTAAACGGGGTGTTTACTCGCATGTCTGATAAGAAAAAGTGCACCGTAAACAAGTGGAATTAGACAGGCGTCTGCCGTTTGTCGAAATGGAATTAAATGTTAATTGAATTGAAAGAAGTAAAAGCGAAACTTTAATTGCTGAAAGTGGTTCGGCTGTCGACGGGTCTTAACTTTTGATAGCACACCGTATGGGATGGGCACACACACGACGACGACGACGACGACGACAGCAGCAGTGGCCCTACCTCGATGAACATTTGAACATTTGGCCTAACCCATACCTTTGACATAATAGCAGACAGTTGACAGTATTGCGTTGCGTATGTTATCTCCATTGACAGTCTGTGTTTACCCCACAAAATAGTCTACTAATTGTAGTGAGCTTTTATCTTCACACGTACAGAATAACCATAAAAGATAACTATCAAGATGAATTCTCCATCTTGTGGCCCCACTCTCAAACGAGTATTCAATATTCAATCAGCCACCAATTAGTCATATTAATTGCTTAGTTCAGCGTGGAATTGCTTGCCACAGCTTTTTCATCTTGTGTCGCCAACTGATTCGACGTCTACTCAATTTGTTTGATTTCAATCGAAACACTTTCCCTTTCTCGTTCTTTGCTTTTGGCTTATCGGTGAAGTATCCCCCATTGTTTAGTGGCCAATCTGTTCGCTTTGAAAAGTGCGCTATCGTGTTGCTTATCTGCACTTTAGTCGCTCGGTTCAATGTGACTTTTACCCTTCCAAAATCTGAATTCCGCATGACAATGTGCAGGGCAGAACACTACTTTAATTAATTACTCATGGATACTCACCGGCATTGAACAGAAAGTAATGAGCCTTCATCGGCAGCAGCTCCTTATCAATGTTTGTCTTCATTTTGGCTTAATTATACTCGAGGAACCAGCCGCTACGCTAACGAAGATCCAATAATAATTGCGTGTTGTTGATTGCAATTCGTTTGCTCGTTTCCAGCTATTACTATGGGAATGCTATTACCCGTGTATAAACATTTACTTATTATGTACGTCTGTACATACGATTATATACGAGAATTCCAGCTATGCATGTGCTGGTATGGGTAAGCGCGATCACGTTTCTCCAACTCCAATTGGATTTCGATGCATCAGCATTTAGCTTCTGTTGGAACTGCAGCACTTATCACACAAAGTCTGTCCGAAATAATTATCCCAACCGCTTTTGGAATACTTTGCAAAGTCTCACATTTCCATTGGGGTTCATATGCACGCCGCACCACGAGTCAGTCAGTGTCATTCGCGCCTGGCAAGAAAAATACAAGTGGCCGAAGTTTCAGCGGCTGGCTGGCCCCACTTTGTATATCGACATCTAATTCCACCGAGCCGTGTAACTGTGCATAGTGTGTTCTCGGCTATCCGCTTATCTGTGGCACGTTATTTGTTGTAAGCTGAATAAATACGCCCACTCTACCGCACATGACCAGGGCTGGCTGGCTTTATTTGCAAATAATAAATTTAAAAATAAACCAAAATAGCAAACAGCTGGTCGGGGATGGTAGAGAATGCAAAGTACCGCACGTGATAGGTTCTATTCATTTCGATACGCTACCTATCGGTCTTAGGAATCAGTCTATCGGTTTTAAACAAGAGGTGCAAGTAACTAAAGTGTAGACAAGCCTTATTATTGTTATTCTTAAGCCTAATTCGCTTCAGCCAAATAAAATAGGTACAAAGTATTTAAGTCAATCACTGCATTAAAGCAGGCAAAAATCTTGCTAGCAAGGTATATGTATATTTCATGAATTTACAAACATATTAAGGGTTGCTTCAAATTATGGTGACGCGCTTTTTGTAAACCAAATTTGATGATTTTGTACCATTTTTTGTGTGGAACTATTGTACTTAGAGCTACAATGACACTATCCATAAAGTTTAGTCAGGGCAGAATGGGGGAAAGTGCTGCAGAGGCACTCAGTCGTAAATGTGACTGTAGTGCTGCTGGTAGACGTGTATATAGTTCTCCTTTTCCTGCGGCGTCATTTGGGCTATCAGCTTGTCATCCAGCTGATCCAGGGGATGAGGCCGTCCGGCAACTAAAACAGTAGGCACATCGTCGGCTTCCTCCTCGGACTCCGAGTTGCTGTAGTTCTCAAAATCGAGATCGGCTGCAGGTAGGAATTTACATTGAGACTACATCCTGATCTAAATCTGAGCCACTTACGTATCTTGGCGTTGTCTATGTCCTTCTCGTCGTCACTGGAATCGCTCGAGTTTGCATTCGAAGAGTTGACGCGTATTCCCTTCATATGGGGCTCCTTCTGGCCGGGCTGCTTTTCATGCTGCAGCAGCACCGACATAATATCCTCGTTTTCCTTGCGGTTCCGGTGTCCGGATGTGCTCGACGTTTGGGCAACGTCCTGCAGAGCACCCTCCGCCGCATCCGCATCGGTTATCACAGTGCTCTCCGTCATCCAAATGGGCCGCGACTTGCGCTCAACCACATTGTCGGACGTATCATCACCGCCAATGGTCACATCGACACGCGCCTCCTCAACGGCAAAGCCTTGGTTTCTCGTCGCCTCACCTGACCACGCCATGCCCTCGGGTCGTAGGGCATTCGGTTTCGTAATGCCACGTATCGTGTCTATGTCCACCGGTTCTGGCTCGAGGACTTCCGGTGCCAGCTTGATGCCCTCCACCTCGCGCAGGAGATCATAGAGCGGCTGCAGTTGCTCATTGAAGTGGGCCAGCATCAGGCGAGAGTCTTTCTTCGGCATTGCCGCACTGTCCTCCTCAACCGAGCTGCCGCAGTAAGTGCACCGAAACTCCAGCGTGGCCATGTCGAACAGCTGGTCCGCCTCGAGATCCGTGAACGTCTTCGAGCACATCGAGCACTTGAAGCTGGCCCGGCTGGTTGCATCCCGTTCCTCCGTCTCCATCCGCTTGCGCATCAGGTCCAGCTTGTACTTGACCACGTTCACAAATGTCTTGTAGTTGATGAAGTAGTAGTTGACCTTCTGCGCCTTGCCGTCCGGCCCCGTTTCCATTTTGAGTCTGATCTGGATGAACTTGTCGGTGCGCAGAGTAGTGATCCGCGCCCGCAGCTGCTTCTTCTCGAACCTCAGCAGCTCGCCAATGTCGTCCTCCTTCATGCAGGGGTTCCGCACCAGCATGTCAATGATCAGGGCATCTTCCAGCGAGTAGAATCCTCGCACCACCAGTCGCGCCAGTTGCTTCAGGCTGCTGGGCACCTCGGTGACATAGCGCACCTCTTTAGCCGGTGCTGCGTTGGATGCAGCAGCTGATGTCGACGACATCTCGTGTATCTACGCCTGTGGTGCCACCAAATAGCATCCACGCGCTTCGCCCAGTTTTCCTCTCAACCGCAGGAGGGGGCGTTGATTTCGTTACAGGCAGCGGGCAGGGTACCTACGACTATACATTTTTTAACGTTTTGAAGCCATATGTATCCTATTTACCCTGTTTTGTTAAAATTTCAACTTATGTTCTTTCAATGCACTGCAGTAGTGTGACCGCGGATTTATCGACAAAACGACCGGCTAACCCTCAAGAATATTCCAAAATATACCGTAAATTTGCAGATCAAAATTATATTCCTCTATTTTGCTATTCTGTTTTTTGGTTTGAACATTATTTTGTAAACAAGTTAATAAAAGAAAGTCATGAAAACTAACCGATCTTGTGTAAAATTGATTCATTAATCATATAAAATTATTGTTTGAGTGCCAACAATCCTAATTAATTCGCCAAATTAAATAGAATATCAAAATCATGGAAAATGATTTTGGATTAAGTATATTTTGAAAATGAGAAAGTAAATTTTGGTATTTTTTTGAGGGCAGTGTGGAATTTTTTATCGATAACTCCAGTCCTCGGGTTTTCCGCTCGGCAGTTCCTCGTCAATTTTCCAACAGCTTTTATAAACCAACAAGAAAAGCGTGCCAACTGTTTTTGTTTTGAGGCTTTTTCGCTTCGTGCGCCTCTCTGGCTTTTCTCTGTCGTTCGTGCTCGTGCGCTTTTCCGTGGTGGGAAATACGGTTTTCCGTACGTCGTTTGTTGCTGTTCATCCATCGGTCGTCGCGGAGTGCGTTAACGGAATACGGAAAGCGAATACGAAGCGGATTCGAAAGCAAAACAGCAAGCGCGAAGAGGAAGCCAGAAACGCGGCGTCAAATTGATTTTTATCGTGCGAGAAACGGACGGGTAAAAAGTGAAGAGAGTTCAAAAATTACATAAAGAAGGAGACAAAGGGAAGGTTCGTTTCGTCCTGCCAGCCACCACACCACACACTCGGCTAAAGCACATCAATTGAGATTTAAGTTTCATAAAAGTGCTGCTGCAGACGCATTTTTTTGGGCCGTCGCACGTGATTTGTTTTTTTCTTTTTCGCTTTCCTCCATTTTCAACATCCACCAAAAGTTTGGTCGGTTGTTGGTCCCACCCCTGTCCAGGCAGAGCCGGTCCCAACCACCCTCACCCACCCGCAGGGCATTGCCGCCCGCGCCCGCACGTCTGTGATGTCATTCCACGGCATCTAGCGACATCTAAATATATCGTGTAATATTTATGGGGTATATCCTCGTGCATACATAATAATAATAATAATGGTCTTAGACATCCTGGCGCGTCCTACCCAAGCGAGCCTATGGCGTGGCTCACTGTTGTATCAGTTTAGTTCTTTGCATAACATAACCCAGGAGCAGGCTCTTCGTACATGGAAAAGAATGCACATTCACTTTGTGCTGTATATTATATACTTACTTATACACTATTACATAGTGTACATAGTACACGGGCAAGTCTACAAATCAGGTCAAAGTTGCATAGTCTGACCCAGATCCGAGCACTGACTGACGTACACCAATGGCTTATGGGCCACCGTTTGCGACTTGAATGGGAATGGTGATTGCTACTGGGAGGATGACTTTGCAGCAGAATAAGCGAAGCGGAAGCTTGTACGAAGATCCCCCCGTTTCCTTTATTCTGGGCATTGTTTATGGTGTAGTTAGACGGACTTGGGATTGTTCTACAATTGCGAGAAGCTTTGTTTGTTGATCAGGAAATCGGATTTTAGAATGTTCTCCTGTTCCAAAGATATCACTGATAGTTTCCAACTCAAATTCATTGTTTATTGTTTATTTATTCTTGTCTGCCAGAGACATATTTAATGATTTTTTGCTTTGTGTCAACAAAATGCTTTGTTGATGTTTTTACCCATCAAAAGTTAGCAATATTCCATGGTTAGGGTAGAACCAACCCTATTGTGTATTTTACAGCAGCTTTAGGCATTCCCACCTTTACATTTAATGCTGCTGAACAAAGGCATCCCACAGATGGACACAGAAATAGCCATGGACATTGAATTGTTGTCCCTCCAATCAAAACTCGTAGCCCAAGGTGTTTATTGTTCGAGTGTGTCCAAAGTTTGTTTGCGGCTCGTGTGTTTTGTTCGTCTCATTCCGACTCCCGACTCCCGACCCCACCACTCCGATTTGCACTCCAGCTGGCAGTCAACACTGAACTTGGTATGGAAGAAAGAAAGCCCTGGCCAAAACGGCAGGCCCACAGCTGGGAAAAGCAGGGAAAAATATCGACGTTCCGTCCGGGATTGGGGGGGGGGGGGGGGGGGGGGGGCATTACTTCTCCCTTTTTTTTGGGGGGGGNTCTCCTTTGTTTTGGGCGAGTGTTCGCTGCTCGGATCAGAGCCCGAAATGGGCTTGAAACAACGGGGACGAAAATCGATAATGCTACCCCTGGCGGCACGCACGGACTCGGGCATGGGCATGGGCATGGGCACGGACTCCCGGGTTGCGATGCCAGAGAATGAGAATGAGAATAAAGTGGAATGTGGAGCAGCAGGCCCCTGACACAGAGCCTGCGATTTAAAGCTTGTGGTAGTTACCGTTGCCGAGTGCCAGTGAGAGTGTGCGTGAGGCGTGAGGCGTGCGGCGTAGGGTGTGGGCGTGGGAGGTTGGGTGGCTCACAATCCAAGCTGGAAACCCAGCTACGAAAATAGAAACAGCGCCCAAGCTGCTGCTGCTGCTGCTGCTGCTGCTGGAAAAGCGCCTCACTGTGGAGGCCCAGTTTTGTTGGGGCCTGCCAGCTGCGCTGCGGAAAACCCTGCAGAGAGAGAGGAAAACTTTGCTCGAACTTTATGTTGCAGGTTGCAAGTATGTAGATGTCTGGCAGTGGAAGCACTTCCCGGTGGCTTAATCAAATTATTTACTTGCTCAGTTTGTAATTAAACAATTTTAAGGTAGCGCAGCGGCGCAGCCTGGGAAGCGTCCTAGAATTTCTTGGCCCAGTGTTGGGCATTTATACGAATATGTACCTTACACGACATGCATTCCGTTTTCTGTAGCAATAGTTACGGAAAACAACAAAGAAATCTTTCTTCAAGGAACACCTTTTCTCTGCTTCTCCTAACTTAATAAGCGCTAACAAAATCTATTAAATTAGCAGCCAGAGTGAGTTGTAATTTGCTCAAATTGTCTGGAGACAATTCACACTCAACCCTCGAGATGGGCTCCCCCATGACTTCTGCTTCTGTTTGTGTTGATGCCTCCTCATGAAGGCAGCTTTTTCTTGTTTTCTCTTTGATTTGGCAAAGTCAAGTAGGCGAAGGATTGTGTAACTTGTAGCCTTGCTTGGATAATGCCAACTTTTTGGCTGTCGTGGCACACAATTTGTACGAATATTTGCATTTGTCGCACAATCAAATCTCGACAATAAAAAGCCTTGTCAACGGAAGGGATAAGTACGAGCAGCAGCAGCAGCATCAGCAGCTCCGCCCCAGGCCGAATTCTGTATGCTCTTGGCGCCACATAAGGCAGCCTGTTGGTTGGGTCCGGCTAGAGGCATTCGCTGAGAGTACGGGCCCCCAGCGGATGTGACAGACAAAGACCCAGCCAGTGTCGCTGCTGGCACGCCCATGGGGCGCACAGATTACTGGGCCTACGTCAGCGGAAAGCCGCTCCACTTGCTCCAAGATGATGCAGCGAAGCGAACCAACGATAAGCGCTCACCTTGAGTCCGGTCCACGGAACTAAACGAGGACGAATCTGAATCCGTTTCCGAATTTTAGCTGACAGAACAAGGCACAGTTTTAAGAGGTTTAAGAGAGATTTTACGACAGTTTTGAGTGCAGATTCATCAGCATTCGTCTGGCTATAAATGCCCCGCATTAAATCCATTTAATTAATGCCCTTCTGGCAGATAGATACCCGATGCTGCAGCTGCCAAAGAGTTTCAAGTTTTCAGCCCCTAAAGCTTAAAATTGCAGCTGCAATTACTCGAAGAGCCTAGGCTCTTGGCTCTTTCCCCCACAAAGGTGGGGAGTGGCGCCTAATGTTTGAAGGATTTACAACTTCCGTGGCGAAATCGCAAACCATAAGGCATAAGGCACATCACGTTACCTTGGCTTAGTTTGGGGCGGCCTGCAGTTGGCAACATTTTAAGCTTTATCGTACACGTTTTTTTGCAGCCATCGTGAATAGAGGGTGGGGCAGAGGTGGGATGTTATTGGTGGTTGCACGCTACCCCAAACAAAAGTGTGCCATAAATCTAAGGCAAAGTAAAGAGAAATCATGTAATTCGTGGAACTGGTCAGGAAATTCGTTTAGCCGTACCCTCGATGTCGCCTTTTAGTCGCTTAGTTTAATAGAACTGAAAGCGGAAAGCACCTAATCATCGGACGGCAAATGAAACCCTTTTTAAGCTTTCGTATCACATCTTTTGCTTTCAGCTTGATTGCTGGTGAAAGAGGGCCAAGTGGCGGACTTGCTCCAGCATGCATGTCGTATGCGTGATGTAAGGACAGAGAAAAGGACGAAGAGCAAGAGAACAGAGCGAGAGAGGGCAGAGCGGACGCGAGAGTGAGCAGCAGGGAAGGCAAAGTGAATCTCTTCCAGGGCACAATGTCATCGATCTCGGCCCAAGGCGTGGTCGAGCGCGCCTCTGCCGAACTATCTAAACGCATCAACGGTCTGGGACTCCGATCGAAGCATCACCACAGCAGCGGCAGTGCCGGCAGTACCGACGGCGCCTCCTCAAATTCCAGCACGTCCAGCACGACCGCGTCCAGTGGCAAGACCTCGGTGATGGAGCGCGTCACCAACGCCCTCTGTGGCGGTGGCAATTCCAATGCCAATGCCAATGCCAACTCCAATTCCAATAGCGGCAGCAACAGCTCCTCTGCGGCGGCAGCAGCTGCCACTGCCGCGAGTAATGCCAATGCCCCGCCCACACCGGACAAGCCATCGCGGGCCAGCCAGAGTCCCGTTACCGGTACAGTCTCTCCACAGCAGCAGCAGCAGCAACAGCAGCCACCGCCTCTGGTGCCACCGTCGGCCAGTTCCGGCGTTCCGGCAACTCTCAACCAAACCTCAACGACGGCGCTGCTCATGCAACAGCAGCAGCAGCAGCAACACCATCAGCTGCAGGCACAGATGGCCGGCTCCACGCTGATTAATTCGAATCACCACTTGGCCATGTCCGCCGTCGGACCGGGACCGGCTCCACCATCGGGATTGCCGCTCGGAGCCCCACCAGCACCGACGGTCAAGTCGATAGCCAAGCAAATGAATATCCAAATTCCGGGCGTCGGGATCGGTGTCGGCGCTGGCGCGGGCTCCGGCTCGCCCACATTCAGCACCATGGGCATGGTGGCGGCCCAGAAGGCGGCCGCCGGTGGAGGCACACCGCTGCAGCTGCGCAAGCAGCTGCCCAATCCCCACCTGCACCATCCGTACGGCAATGTGGTCGTACCGGGTGTCGTCCCGGGCTCTGTCTCGGGTCCAGTGCAGGCCTCCCAGTTGGCCGCCGTCGCCGCCACCCAGTCCACGCTGATCCTCCACAAGCACCCGCACCCGCCTCTCATCCACAGCATCGATGCCCTGCTGCTCGACGATCGCTTCCTGAATCGCTTTTTCCAATACTTTTCGCCCTACGAGCGCCGCGTCCTCGCCCAAGTGTGCATCAAGTGGCGGGACATACTGTACCGCAGTCCCCGCTACTGGTCCGGCCTGCTGCCCACGCTGCAGTGCCGCGAACTCCGTCAGATGCCCGGCTGCGATCGCGGCAAACTCTACAACTCGCTCATACGTCGCGGCTTCCATGCTCTCGGCCTGGTGGGCGCCTCCGATGAGGATGCCCTGGACGTCGTGCACTCATTCCCGCTCGCCTCCAAGCATGTCCACTCGCTCAGCCTGCGCTGCTCCTCGATCAGTGATCGTGGTCTGGAAACGCTGCTCGATCATTTGCAGGTGAGTCTCACCCAAGGGACACATTTTTGTCTATTTGTGTGAGGAATTTTCCTCCAACAATATTTGCTTTGAAAAGTTCGCTCTTGTCTCTTGAGTATTGTTTTGTGCCCCTGTTTCTTCCGCCATTAACTCGAATCAGGGACTGTCAAGACAAGTTTTCTGCAGTGAAATCTGCCATCCAAAGGACCTCTCAGAGAGCAGCTGCTAGCCGCAAGCGAGCGACTTTAATTTGGCCTAACGTCTCGGTGGGCACACCTCATCGGGTGGGCGTAAAAGTTGACAGTGGTCAGTCCCGTGTCGGATGAGAACTGAAATAAACCCGGCACCATCTCGGCGCTGGTCAAGCAAAACTATTTTCATTTTATTTCGGGAACAAGAACTTGGTCCGTGCCATGCCGCGCGCGCCTCACACAGAAATAATGAAACGTGTCAGAGCTGAAAGTGTGTCATCGTCAACGCTGGGATGGCGTGGGGGCTTACATTCGGCACATGCCATATGCCACATGCAGCACTCACAGCTTTCTGCACTTGTCGCATAATGAATTGATGCGATCAATTTCAGATGCAATCACATCAAAGCATCCTCGTAAATCTCATTTAATTTAGCCAAATAGTTTTTTGCGCTAATTGCCGCGAATTGAATTCATAATTTGAATGAATCTTTCATGAGGTGTGCTGCGGGCCAAAGCAAATCGCGAAAAATTCACTCATTTAAAATGTAATTGGAGCATTTTTGCTATAATATTAAAAGGTAAAAGAAATCGTAGCTGTAGTTTGTAGCAAAAATTCAGCACCAGGAGCCACTTTTACTGCTCCTGTCCATAAATGTTCCCATTCCAATTGCATGAAGCAGATTCCTCATTAAACAATAACTTCATTTATGAAATAACTAAAACCCAAACTTAGCCCAAAAGGCAGAGACAGGAAGACAGCAAGAGACCGAAGAGCAACCTCAATCAGATTTGAGGGACGAACAAATGGGGTTTCGTCCTTAATTGGTGGCTCAGCTGTGGTGGAAGCAAAGCAAAATCCATTCGTTTCATGGACCAATTCAAGGCAATGTAAGGCCTAATCCACTAGGGGACATAGCAGGGTAGGCGCACCGGAAAAGTGGATAATGCTGGAGCATCGCTGAAGCACAGTCCATCACACACTCAATGGGTTGACTGTTTTCAGCTTCCTTTGAGAGGAAGTGTGTGTCCCCTGCTGACTGTCAATCTGGAGGGACTGGCAGTGGAACTGCTGCTGATGTCAGAATTAATCCAATGTGAATGCATGTGCCATGTTTATGGGCCTAGTTCTGGCTGATGGCTGGCTGGCTGCTGGTTGCCGCCCACAAATGGTTTGATTGCAAATTGCTGTCACTGGATGACAGTGACTCACGGGGGCGCGTGGAGCGTTGTTGATGATGAGAATCAACCGAAGTGTGTGTGTGTGTGTGTGTGTGTGTGTGTGTGTGTGTGGCAGTGTGACCTTGGGGAATTGACAGAGTGCCTACCGAGTGCATGTCCTTTCCCTCCGGACATTCAGCAGGCAACACAAGGGACATGCAATGCGAAACGAATGCTTGCGAATGCGACGGAAATGCGACGACTTTCTACATACATTCCTGCTACATATTTAATGGCCAATGCGACTGGAGTACGGTTAGGGGTTACGAATATGCCTGCGATTTCCGCATTGCCGCGGACGTGTATCCTCCAAAGTGGCCAACAGCATGTGGAAGTGCCATCAGCTCGTTGAACCCAACCCCCCATTGACCCATTAAACTACGCTCTTTCGAACTCAGAAGAGTTAAGCTTGAAAAAGAAGGCAAACAAATTGTAGCCACGAGTGCACATTTCCATTCAGTTTTCAATATCTAAGCGCCATATAAATGTTAGTTATGGATTACTGGGAAAGCCTTGCTGCCACTTTATTGGAAATGTTAAAAACAGCGACCAGAAATGGGCTGAGATTACAGCAAAAATATTCATCATTAAGAGCATTTGTTTGTTTTTACATGCAAATGTCGCGTGCATGCAAATCAACTTTTTGGTGCACTGTTTGTGAGTGTTTCTTGTACTTTTAAAGCAGCGAAAATTCTGCTTCAATTCTGCTATCAAAATAGTGAAAACCCAAAGTTAAACGGCTAATAAAAACACACAATAAACGGTCGCTCATTATGTTTAAGTATCAAGTATTCAATGCCCAATTTGAGGCTTCCAAAAGAATAGATAAATAGATAAATGCGGGCAACAACACAACTAGAGATAGCCATCGAATAACGTCATCTACTTGTACTTTTATACAGATTCTATACAGTCTATGTGTATGTACATGTGTACAAAAATTCTATTCGTATTAGCATTACACATTGTGTGGTTGGTTCGTTGGTAACTTACGTTTTTGCGTGGCTGCCTGCTGACTTTTCGTATCGATTTTGTTGTGTGGCAAACAACAAAAAAAGTTTCCCTTGGCTACGTCGCGAGGCAGAACTTTTACAATTGCCCATAAAAAAAAAGAAACTGAATAGAAATAGCAGAAATACCAAGCATAGAACGATGAAAATCCGTACAACAGCAAAGGGCAGAGCATTTACGTACACCATTCATAATGAACTTGTGGCAAAGTTGGGTGGCATGTGTTGCCAGAGTTAACAATGCTCGTATTACTGCTACGGAATCCAATTACTGCCATGTACATAACCAGTCAACATATCTGCAATTAGACCATTTGAATCGTTAATGAGTTGCGGCACTTTGCTTATAAATGATGCATAATTACAATAACCTTTTAGTGGTCCAAAAAGTGTAAGAGGAACTCTTCTACTCAGTTATGCTTATTGTCCATAACTGATTGATTGTCTAAGCTCCGTGGAGCAATCATTTGCCATCTATTTTCCATTTCTCCCAACTGTTGTCTCAGCCGTAACCAAAATGGTTCTCCATTCGTGTAGGGCCAAAGGTTCGCTGAGTTGTGTAATGCATTTTTGTGCTCATGCAATTTCCTGTGCCGTGGATTTCTATATTCGTGCTTCCGGTTGCATTTGTTGTTTATCGCTTTTCTGGGAATGGGCGGCAGCCTCAAGAGCAGACACAATTACAGCCAGGACATGGGCGTGGACGCGACACAATGTCTGGGGCACTCGCAACGGGGCCATGTTTCTCTCTGCCAAAGGTCAAAGTTGATCGGGTTGCATACACACTTTTGCCAGATGCGTTTTAGAGCCAGGAGAAACTTTCTGCCAGTTTGTTGACTGCTAAAGCCACAGCAGAACTTTGGACCACTGCAGTTTAATTAAATTTCAAAAGGAAGGGGCTCCCCACACAACAAATACCAAGGGATGACTGCTAATTGCCATTTTGTGTGTGTGTGTGCGGTGTGTTTGGTGAGCCACATGATATATCGAATGGCCTGACCGGCTGGAATTGGCATTTCGGTAGTTGGCTTGCCCACAAAAAATTAATTAATTTATTGCCTATACTTTATCTGGATGATTTTTTAGTTTCTTTGTCTATTCAATGCATATCGAAGTGGAACTTTTCAGGTAAAATCATTGTCATAATCATTTAGGGGGCATCTTCAAGCAGTTCTTGAGATTATCTAGGTGGTAGGTTACTTTTTTAGTGGATTTCTAGTTTGAACTTTCATAATGATCCAATTGTTCCGCTTATACCATAACGATCTTACTAATGATTCGACCTTGGCAGAGTTTTCCAATAGTTTTGTTTAATAAAAACACACGATTTTCGTCTCTCGAAAATAAATATTTCACGCATTGATCAATAAAAAGTTTTCTTTCCACTCTAGATATAATAATGTTTATTTATGTGGCAGGCTTTTTTTTTCGATTTTTCCATAACTAGAAATACTTTGTGGTTCAGTGATTCGATTGAGGAGAATTTGTGGAATTTGCTGTCTGCCTTAAATATTTACCTGAAATGCTTACACATGGATATGCATGCATATTTATTTGTTTCTAGTGCCTACTCATATATAGCTAAGAGTATATATAATAACAAAATTCTTGCGCCTGATTGGCCTTTATTTTCTGCTGGCCAAGTGTCAACAAGTCGCATGAATGCCATCAAATGTCCAAAAGTATTTTAGAAATCATCACGACAGCAGCTCATAAAAAGCTTTTCGCTTGACAACCGAGCACTCACCTATCGAACGGAATCTCACATATTTCTGAGGATTAATATCTGCGGTAAATGGCTTAGTGTCTGGCCACAGGACACACGTTCTGAGTGTGCCTAAAATACTACACGTTCCACCCAATCCCAGAGAAGTTGTCCTCACAAATGGATAAGCTTTTATTATGCTTTATTTGTATATAATTGAAGCAACGTACACATTAAAATATACTTCTGAATAGAAGACGGTGCACGTTTACCAAATCCAACTACGGCTCATAGTTTTCTAAAAATTCTTCGTAGCATTCTGAAATGTTATGCAAAACATATAAAATCTGATGCAGAAAACAAATCCATTTTACTTACTCCCGTGCTTGACGTCCACAAAGAACTCCCTGCACATCAGCGACTTGATAAAAACGCCACACTCTGAATGGTTTGAGTGGAATTTAATGGTTTAAAAAGTGGAATTAACTTTAAATTAACTAAGCTTACGTGGTCCGTAGGTCTTAATAATGGATTCGCAATGTTCACCTGCAATAAAAATAAAATAAAATAAAATAGAATATAGAATTAATAAGTGTAAAACTCACTGGGCTTTTTTGGTGTGAAGCCTGACAAAGAGCCGAAGACTGCCAACAGCACAAATAAGAATAGAGCAAAGGACTTCATGATGTGACTGACGACTTCTTGGGTAGATTAAACGGTTTGTGTTCGCTTTCATTATTTGTAGCTCTTACATAAGATGAGTGTGACCAATATTGTGTCCAATCGCGTAAAGTATGACAGTTTACAAAGAGCTTCTCGCTTGACATCGAATGGAATGTCACATATTTCTGAGGATTCTGAGGATCTGCAGCAAATTGTTTAGTGGCCGCTGGACACACGTTCTGAATTACAACTAGCTTTCCCCGCTAATGGGATAAGTTTTATCATGCTTTATTTACATTCCATATATGAATGTATAGATATAACTGAATCAAAGTACAAATATAAAATTTACATCTGAATATATGTACGATGTACCTTTGCCAAGTTAAACTACTTCTTAAAGGTTTTTAAAAATTCATCGTAGCAATCTGAAATAGTATGGGTAAAATATAGAATCAGTTACACAAAATAATGCAATTTCACTTACCCCCTGGTTTGGCGTCCTTGAAGAATTTCTTGCAAAACAGCGAGTTGATCTTAGTGCCACACTCTAAAGGAGTTCAGAAGAGTTTGAAAAGTGAAATTACCTGTAGATTAATTAAGCTTACGTGGTCCATAGGTCTTAATAACGTCTCTGCATCTTTTACCTAGAATTAAAACAAACATTTAAAAGACTGAAAATAGAATATACAACTAATGAATGGAAAGCTTACTGGGTTTTCCTGACAAAGAGCCGAAGACTGCCAACAGCACAATTAGGAATAGAGCACATGACCTCATGATGTGATGACTTCTTTTGTAGATTGAACGGAAATCACGGTTTGAGCTCGCTTTTATACGGTGTAGTTCTTACATAAGATGAGTGTGATCCAATCACGTAAAGCTTGACCGCGTCATGCTATGGATTAAATATTATAAACGGATTGAAGGTTAAATACATATTTGTATGTATGTATATTTGTATTTATGCATCGTACAATTGTTTTCAGTGTAATTTTTGTGTGTTTGCTGTTCGCTACAAAATTAGCTGCTGCTGGCCGTGCGTATTTTCTCACATGCATATTCTCCGTTATTTTGTTTTCCGTTATTCTTAATCTTGTCTTCATTTACGTACCAGCTTTGCTGCTCACTCGCACCACACACACACACACTCACACGCACGCACCCACCGTCTTGCGCTTTGAGTGCAGTTGTCTTATCTCTTGATCTGTGTTTTCTCTTATTCTTGTCTTGTAACGAAAAATGCTCTCTCAATTGCTTCAATGCATTGATGCTCGCCCTCTCTCTCTCTCAGTAAGTAATTTCATTTTGTCTCTCTCTCTCTCTATTGGCAAAAACAAAATTCGGCTGGGAACTTTCGCTCTCAGTGTGCTGCGTGCAAATGAGAGGGAAATTAAGCTTATTAAGGCAAGAAAGGGAAATAATGTTGAAGAATATTAAACGGCAAACTGCAACAAATGAAAACCCTTCAAAGTGTTTGCAGTACCAAACATTAACCACTATTATCGATTCGCTTTGCAGAGTTTGTTTGAACTGGAGCTGGCTGGATGCAATGAAGTCACCGAGGCTGGATTGTGGGCGTGCCTGACGCCCCGCATCGTCTCCCTGTCGCTGGCGGATTGCATCAATATTGCGGACGAGGCTGTGGGGGCGGTGGCACAGCTGCTGCCCTCTCTGTACGAGTTCTCACTGCAGGCAAGTGCCGGTGCAACGCAGAGCAAATCCCCCCCACTAACCCAATCTCTTTGTCACACAGGCATACCACGTCACGGATGCGGCCCTTGGCTATTTTTCGCCCAAGCAAAGTCACAGTCTGAGCATACTACGCCTGCAGTCGTGCTGGGAGCTGACCAACCATGGCATTGTTAATATCGGTAAGTGGAGATTTCCAACCTCCAGTTCCAGGACTCTATCCTCCTTTGATGTGGAGTAAAACTGTGTAAAATCCATGGGTTTCCGCTTCACAATCGGAATTGTTAAGCAATGTCAAATGGCAATTACCTTACGGGCAGCGGGCTGCATGTCCCAGCCATGGCTAATTCCCTCTCTTGGTGGTCGTTTCGTTCCAATTGAATGTTCGTTCCATTTGCAAAATGTTTCCGCTGACGAGTGACACGGCTGTGGCGCTACTGGCACTTCTTGTGGCTGTGCTGTCGGTGGTACGAAAAAACTGCATAGGATATCCGCCAGGAGTTTGCCTGCTGGAGCAAGAGCTATAAATGGAGCGACAACAAAAAATACATACACACATATCTCGTACGAGCTTACATTTAATGAAATGTTTGTACAAAGTTCTATTCCTTACGGGTTTGGCCTGCTTCCGAAACGTGTCCTTTGTGTCCTCGTCACATCATCTCCAAACATTGCACTCAACTAATTGAAACATTTTTTTTTTGTGGGACACTTTTTGTGAGGCTGCTTCCTGGGCAACGGCAACAAAGTAAATGAAAGGCAGAAAGGCTTCTACATTCTTTGACGTCCCTGACTGGCTTCGAATCCGTACCCTTTTCAGTCGCAAATTGGCAGGGATCTGGCTTACATTATTTTGAACCCACACCACCAAAAGTGTGCCTCGCAAATCGAATTGTATTTGGGAATATATCGATCAAAATAAATTAAAGATTGTTATATTAAAGGCAGAAATTAAGTTCACTATAGTGAGGAATTCGTGTTAAAGCGAACTCATTTCCATTTACTGCATTTCTCAGCATTAATCTGCACGTAAAACATTTTAATTGACGTATTTCCTGGCTGGAATTGCTGCTCCGTGAGTGCTTTAAAGCATACTTATGGGACAGCAACAAACCCCATTTAATATGCAAGCATAAACCAGCGCTATACCCTTTGGCACGCCTCTGCATGGCTACGCTACTTTGACCTTTGCCATGGCGACAGCTCAACGAGCCGCCCACTTGAGAGTCCCTGGCGCCCGACTCGCCTCGGCCTGTGCAGCAACGTCTGTGCCAGTGTTTGGCCAGAGTTTTGCAATCAATTTGGTGGCACGTCATTTTCTTTTGCGCCGAGCAGCACCTTTGCCTGGCAATCAGAAAACCCCAACAACGCCTCCATCATGCCCCCACATCCTATTGGGCAGCAAATTAAGCTGCAGATTGCTGCAAGCGTCCAGGATGTGGTTTTCCCCCATGCTGGCTCAGAAGTTGCTCATGCAGATAGCAGCTAGGAACTGCAAACTGCGAATCGAAATCGAATTATCGCAGCTCAGTGATCAAACCCGTTGACGTGCAAGTGCAGGGCAGGAACTGAATCTGAGCTGGCAATGGCATTCGGTTCATTCGCATATCCTTTGGCTGCTTCACCTGCACACAGATTTGATTATCGCAGCCATAACCATATTTCGCAGAAAGCGGATTAACCAGAGAGTAGAATTTTGTAGAATTTTACAGCATGTGGTCGACAGTTTGACTGCCAGTAAAAACTCTCAGTAAACTCTGCAGATTATTAAGTCTAGAATATGTGTGTGTAAAATTATTTAAACACACATTAAAGCTTCCCTTTGTGGCTAGTTTACCGACAATATTTGCTTGGTGGATGAAGGAGCACAAACACAGCCATGTATTAATGTATGTATTACACATCCGCCCTGTCCGCTCTGCCACTGCCACTGTGTGTGTTTGTTCAGGGTAACAGGCAACAGATGCGGCATATTGTCTTTAGGGGCCATTAAATGACAGTATTTTTGTGTAAAGTGTGCGCCAATCATGAATTGTTTGTCGAAATTCAACGAAAAGTCAAAATAAAATGTGTACAAAATTAAACAAAGAACGACAGTCGGACACATGTTGAGAGAAAGTGTAAATTGAAGAGTTCTTTTCTCTCGAACGCTCTTTGCTTTGTTTTTTCTGATAGTAATCTTTCATTGATTTGTGCACTCTCTTTCCGGTTCAAGACCGAGATGGATTGAATGGGGTTTTGGCTTAGAAGTTCAGGACTCGCTGAGCTTTCAGCTGTCGCCACAGTTTCGTAAGCCATTGTGAAAAGTTGTGCAATCCTCACACAGCTGCCGTGGCCCCCAGGAGCACTGGAGCTGTGGCAAAACTTTTATTAAAAACAACTCGCAGCGACAGTGCCAGTGGCACGGTGTCCCGGCTTATCACAACATCGTGAAGCCGTTGGGCTAATTGCATTTGTCATCTAATTGAATTGGGGGGCAAGTTTCAAGTTCTCCATCGCTGACTCTGCCAGGTCGTTAGCGCTGGCCGAGTGCCAGTCGAACAGTTGACCAGTCGGGGATCAGGGGACTCTTTTATTGCCTTGCCTTGCCAATGGCTGTGGCTGTGACTTCATGTTTAGCTCTGACTTCAACACATCATTTGGCACGCAATCCGGGCCGTGCCTTTGCCGGAAACGGAAATGTAAGAGCTGACTGACTGACACATTGAATGGCTGTCTCGTCGCGCCCCGTCCAAGCTAATTGGCAGAGCGTCGAGGTCGTTCAACTGGGCGTATGCGTGATTTATGAGTTTACACGTGCGCGGGCGCGGCTAGGCAAGGAGCGGGCATAATCAGATCGAAACAATGAACAAGTTAATCCCCCATTAATTAACAGTGTCAACAGAAATGCCGGATCCCATTTAGCAGAGATCTCCTCCCACTTTGTGCAACAGCAGCCCCGGCAGGGGGCATCTCGATTGCCGTTTGTTGCTTGCTCGTTGTGGTTCGTTTCGCGTCCGAACAATTGCATTTGTCGTCGCCGGCGACATGTCCATCAATTTAACCGCAAAGTGCAGCGGAACAGCAAGCCAAAAAGCTTTCACATCCCCACCCGCCAGTCATCCCGCTAGCGACAAGCTGCCAGCAAAATCCACAGTGGGACGCAATGCCAGCAAAACGGTTTCAAGCAGCTTGAGAATATCTGCTAAGGGTTCTACTTTCGCTGGCCCAAGTTAGAGAAATTCCTCGAGTCTTTCGGGTTATTTTATTCATAATAAATTGACCAAAATGAGTTCCGTTCCAATGTAAATGATGTTGAACCCGTGTCTCATATCTCTAGGCAGGGTTGTGCCTCCGCGATGGCTAAAATTCCTGCATGCCATGACACCAAATTCATCTTATTCAGACCTGCGCTTGTCTGTGCGAGCGCCAAGCAATTGATAAATCTCCCTGGCAGTCCGCAGCTGCCATTCCGCACAAGAGCGGGAGGGGCGGACAGAAGGAGCGCACCCGACGGGGTGTCGTGTTCATTAAATTACACATACATTTTTCAAGGTGCTCGCTCGGGCCTCCGCTGTGCTCTGCTTTGTCGCCCGTCGCACGCTTTTCTTTGCGAAATTGTTAATTAACTGTAGATATTTTTATAAAAGCTCACGCGCACGCACTGTTCCCCTTTCCGAGACGACTTCCCATTTGGCCAACTTGTCAATCAACCGTCAGCTGGTCGCTGTTTTTGCCGCACGGCAGCTACGACAGCGACCCTGAACCTGAACTTGCCAAAGGCAAGGGCAGTCGGACCCAGCCGGACCGGACCACAAGAGTATTTAAAAAGAGCGAGGGCGACGAGTGTGCAACCGCATGGAAGTGCACTCGGATCGGAGCACTTCTCAGTGATTAGAGCCTGGACGCTGGTCAGCTTGCAGCCACAGCAGAGCTGGGCTGGGAGAGCCTCGTGCTTAGGGTGCAACCTAGACACATGTTCAGGCTCATGGCTGAGCTCCCAGCATCATGGTATATAATATCTGGCTGCCGTAAGGCTTCCACATGCATAAAGTGAGTGGGGGGAATGAAATTCAATTTTAATTGCATTTGATGGCTGCCACGGAGATGTGCGGCTGGGGGCCGAACACAGGGAACACACACTGTCTCGGAGCATGTGCGGAGCAGCTTAACGTCAATTAAGTTGCCGATGATGTGCGCAGCGCAGCAGCTTCGTCCCCATAGAAACATCAGCATCCAGCCAGGCGCCCACGTGCAGATGAGCATTACTTCAGGGCCACGCGGGCTTTGTGGCAGCTGCGTTGCGTGGGCTTCCTGTGGTCCAATGGAAAGTGGCATCCAACTCTAAATGCCAGCTAAAGTGCACACAGTAAGGGAAAGATTATACTTTACTGTGGAGGAGTGTGTTCTGTAGGTTGTTGGACAAGCTGCAAGATTATGGAAATATTTGATGTTATTTAAGAAGAATTTATTTGGCATAAGGTGCCGTTGTTAGTGGTTAATATTTTTACTCTACTCAACAGATATTGTTCTATGGCTCGCATAAATATAATTAGTATGAACGCATGTCAAAATTATTCAGCATTTTGTGCCATGGATAAAACATTGTTATGGGTGCCTACAACTGATTTCTGCTGCGCCCTGCCCGTTGCATAGTTACTTAGGTCATCCTTTTCCGCAAGCTAATTTGAGTTGAAGTCTGATTCCGCTGCTTGCTCCAGCATTATATTAAGATTTTATATGAGCTAGTACAAGTTTTGTTATCTTACACCCAAAAGCTCACTTCTAAAACAAATTTCGGAGCAAAAGAAGGCAGAATATTTATTGCAGACAGGACTCACTGCTGCACATTTTCCCAGTCATTATAAAGTTGTCTTTAAGTGAAATTAAAACAAATTGCAGCTAAAATTTTCCAGTGAAAATGCTTGGAGTAGTGCACTACCCTTAATGGCTGGGAATAATTAACCGGGTCACCAGAAGTAGACGTAGACAAGACAGCCTCGAAACTGGGTCAAACAGACAGTTGCCGTCTCTTTAGCTGCAAAGAAAAGTGCGAGCGGTGGGAAGTACCCACAAGGCAGCCGCACACGCAGGAGTAGAGCTCCACGTGGAGACATAAAGACAGAGATACATGTAGTCCCAGGTGGGGCCCATTAGACAACAATTTCGCTAAGCTGTTGATGCATTTTTAAACATGTACAGAGCATAGAGATCACTCCAGAAAGGCTTATTTTATTCTCCACTATAAGGGGGAACTACTCGGCTCATCAGTAGCTGCTATAATGAATGTATCTAAGAGTTATCCCGAATGGCAGTCATCACAATTACCGATTTGACAGCCAGTGCTGCCGAGGGCAGGGCTACCCAAATTAATTCTGATTGAAATTGTACGACCGGCACTGCCTGCCTGCCGACTGCTGCCAGGCTGCCAAAACAATGGCAAATTGTAATTGTATCTGAAATCTGTATCTGTATCTGTGTCTTTCTCTTTGTTTTCACCACCCACAGCCGCTGTCTCTATCGATGGCTTTTGGCACGTTTTTGCCTGCTGTCTTTTGCATAATTGAGTGGCATAACCATTCGTGGGACACAAACACTAATTTCCAAATGAATAATCCATGAATGATGCGAAACAAAAGCCTGGGCCTACATTTAAGGCATTTGATTGGTGTTTTGTTACCAGAAGGAATAACGTATTAAATCGATCCATACAGCTCCTATTTTGCTCCAAAGTAAATCTTAAATCTTATAGGAAGACTATTTTCAAGGCCTCTCCCTACCCCAAGCTGTAGCTAATCTTTCGTTGCGTAATCCAATCTGATATGGCGGTAGTTAGACTGAACTCACGCTGCTGAAGGCAGAGCCTAATGAGGCTTGGCCCCATTATCGCGTTCGCTGTTTTGGCAACCAAAACTTTGCCGTTAATTGACAGGGCCACTTAAGACCCACAACAGTGGCTGCTATGTGCCCCAAGTGGGATTTGTTTTATCACTTAGGCTTTAGGGAGTCTTTAGTTTAGTGTCGGGAACATTCCAGTCGATTTTCAAAACGCTTTTAGGATGCTGTGGTTGCCTTAATAACCTTTCCATATTCCAAAGAACATTCCATACCGTTTGCGAGGCTGCTTCCAGGAAACTGTGGCCGCTTGGCTTAATTAACTGAGGATTAACTCTTTTCCGAGAAGGAGAATATCCGGCACCAGCTTCAGCTCTGCAAGAAATCTCCGGCTTGGCATGCTCCATTTTCTGCAATAAAACTTTAGAGCAGATTTCCTGGTACAAGCACAAATCAATTTTAAACTTTAATTCCCGTCACCTCAAGGGCTTAAGTGGAACACGTTTAACCCTGAAATAAATCATTTCTGTGTATTGATTCTGCTTTTATTGTATGGAAAATACTTACAGTAAATGCCTTTTCGCTCTATTAACCCACAATAAGGCAGTTTGGACAATCAGCAGCCATCAGACACATAAAGAAAGTCATCAAGAAATGCCAAACATTTCGAATGTTAATATCGCAGCAAAAATCAATACAAATCGCTGAAGGAGAGTGAAAGTGGGAAGCCATAACGAGGCTCCACGATTGTCGGATTTCCACAGGACTAACTGACACTTGCGGACAGAGTTTTTTGGGGCAAAAGGAGCCACAAATATAAATAATAACTAAAGCAGAGTGTGACAGGTCCAGAAGCGAACTAATTCCCAGCATTGCCCGACCGGATAGCTGCTCTTTGGGCGCTGGCACCAAAGCAGAATACAAAACGAGCCACGCACAAATGTCGCTGGTTGTTATGGTGTTATGGGGAAATGTAAATGTATCTGCTAGACACACACAACGTATCCTGACATGTTTATGTGTTCCGCCTGCCCGTCTCCACGTACCACAAGTGCGTGTACATGTGAGGGACGGACGTCCCTCTGTTCGTTTCATGTTTTTGGGCCACTATTTGTGACGAAAAATTTCCATTTACAATGCATATCAAGCAGCCATCAACCTACCCAGGTTACACAGCTGCTGCTGGAGTTCCTGGAAAAACAAACCCAATTTGTTATTTCCCAGCCATCCACCATCGTAGCAGAATAAGCCTGAGGGAAATAATGAGCAGGATATTGAGTGAAGTTTTCCTGCTTTTTGGTACCTTCAACCTTCAACCTTCGACAGCTGACTGACTGACTGAACTTATCTATCAAAGAGAATTTTCGTGTATTCGTACGAGATTATGCACAACAGAAATTCCATTTGCCTCTTCTTGATATTGCGACATCCGTAAATAATTTCAGTACGCATTCCTGTGACATTTCCGTACCGTATCTATCAATCTGTTCACATTGGGGTCAGTATTCAGTCGCTGATCACTAATTAGTTAATCTAATTTGTAGCAGTTGTACTTCAGTAGGTTTTTCCCTTAATCACATCACTTTTCAGATTGTTTTTACACCATTTGTCGCTGCTCTTTGCTGCAATTTCAGTATTGTGATCGCAAAAACGAGTAGAGTCCTGCGGCCAGGTATTACCCGTTAGTGTCGGTCACAAAATGAAACTGCAGCACCAATGACAATCCAGGGGGCATGGAAACTGCGAGGAGACACTGCTCGGAGCACCACACGGACTCGAATCGCGAAGCATGAACCGATCGTTGCTCGCCGATGGAGCGCTGATAACGAAATGAATTTCAGCGGCGATCACGAGCGCGATAAATAAGCGCAAATCGGGGCCGATGCACAGATCTAGCTCAGAGTGTAATTCAATCGATGATCATTATCCGCCTTAATGCCGCTCTCTCGCTCACTCAGTGTCTCTCTCTCTCTCTCTCTCTTTCTCTGTTTGTATCCCTTTCGCCCTGCAATCGAATGTGGTCTGCGTCGGTTTCTGTCGCCGCCGCGGCGGCCTGCTAATCACCGTTTCTAATAAGAGCACTCGCCGATGCAGGGCAGGGCATCTGTATCTATGTCTCTGTCTATTTGCATATGCACCACACAGTTATTCCATGGCATAGAGGCGCCTTTGTCTTTGTCATTGGATGTTTTTTTGCGGTTATTGAATCTCTCTGTGCCAGCCAGACGACTTACTTGCCCCATCAGTTGCAGCAAACAGCAGCAGCAGCAGCAGCAGCAGCTCCCACTTGATAGATACAATTACTGTTAGCCTCCTTGAGCAGGCAGCGCCAGCCGCCCCCTCCTGTTCCGACACTCCCCTGCCTGTTACGGTTATTGTCACTGTTGGGGCTTCCCATCAGTGCCTGCGCTTGAATATGCATTGGCAAATAGATTTAAAATTCCGTTTAGGCTGTGGCATGGGAGTAACTGCAAGCACACATTGCCAAGTGCTCTCTGAATTCTGTGTTTGGCAGGACTCCAGAGTGTTGACTAGTGATCCTGCTCATCCTTTTGTGTTATATGAACTGAAAACCGAAAGTTAGCTGCCACGCCCATGCACTCATCAAATGGCATTCATTCTGAAGCAGAGAGCACTCGGCCACTTTCCATAGGTTTTCCCATTTAGTCCGTTAGTTTTTCCCCATTCAGTATCTGCGTATCTGAGCGATCTCCAACCGTGTGTGTGTGTGCATATTTTGTAATTCAAATCGTTGTTGTTTTTTTTTGTCCTATGCCTCTTGCGGTTTTTTTGGTCAGAAGCCAAACAAGGGTTGCCCTGCCCGAGCTCCACCCTTCCTTTCCCTCAGAGCAACTGCCAGACCGCAGTCGAAGTGGGTCGCACACAGTTGGTGTTGCCTGTACGGCCGCACAAAAGCGGCTTACTCGACCGGACCCATACCCCCGTACCCGTTCCGTGCACTTTCGACTTCTTCTCACCCTCTGGGGTTGGGGAGGAGCAAACACGGAGCCCCTTCGTCTCCTTTGGAGTTGCTTTTCTTCAGCACCTCTTATCTGTGTTTCCGCAGCCCGCCCAAGCACACTGCACCCACCTTTGCCCCGCCCATACCCACTCCCATTGGCAAAGTCTAAGCTGCTTACGAACGGTAATGTCAGCCATGTGCCGCGACGTTATCCGACGCCATTCGCTATCCGTTTTATCCCAGTATCAACGTACGTTCAGGCCACAGGCCACTCTGCCCATCGCCCATGATTTCTTGTGTTTGCAGGAAACGTTTGCTACGTCAGCAGAATTTACGCTCGTCGTAAACTAATCCTTTGACTCCATCTTTGACTCTACTTGCAGTGCACTCGTTGCCGCATCTGACGGTGCTGAGCCTCTCCGGCTGCAGCAAGCTAACTGACGATGGCGTCGAGCTGATTGCCGAGAATCTGCAGAAGTTGCGCGCCCTTGACCTGTCCTGGTGTCCCCGCATTACGGACGCCTCGCTCGAGTATATCGCCTGTGATCTGAATCAACTGGAGGAGCTGACGCTGGATAGGTAAGTAGAAGCCATCGAGCAATCGACAGCTTCCACATACTCACACTTTGTTCTCTCCTTTTAGATGCGTGCACATTACGGATATTGGCGTTGGATATGTGTCCACGATGCTCTCGCTCACCGCACTCTTTCTGCGCTGGTGCTCACAGGTGCGGGACTTTGGGCTGCAGCATCTCTGCTCGATGCGCAACCTCCAGGTGCTGTCGCTGGCCGGATGTCCGCTGCTGACCTCGTCGGGGCTGTCCAGCCTCATCCAGCTGCGTCACCTGCAGGAGCTCGAGCTCACAAACTGTCCGGGTGCGTCGCACGAGCTGTTCGATTACTTGAAGGAGCACTTGCCGCGCTGCCTAATAATCGAATAATCGATTGAGATTGCCCCACTCAAAACACTGAACACTGAACTTTACTTTACCTCTCCCTCTGTCCCACACTTTGGAAACTTAATTTAATAACAAACTACATACACATTTATGTATGTATGTATCTGTGAGTTTGCTAATTTGTACATTTATCTTAAGTCGGCAAGTTCCTAACTGCCCTTAATCCCTTAATCCTTCCCCCCACTTACTCGCGTATAGTTTTAGAATTTTGTTTGTATGATTTCTGCTGTGATTTGGAATGGAAACTAAGTTAAGTTGATCTGTTTAAGACGAAGTACCACAAAAGACCCAAAGATGATATTTATTTACATGCAATATAAATATAATATGTCTAATATACAATTAAAAAAAAAACAAATATATTTATAAATATACATACATAAATACATTAATTAATTATTTATATTATTGTAGTTTTAACGGACCTTTTTAACTATTATTCTCGCTGTAACTAAACAAAAAACAAACAGATACAGAAACAGTCAACTTGTAAATTACAAAAAAAAAACACACACAAATATCTGTCACGTCTGTCGTGTCCTGTCAAGCAACCAAACAAATCGAGACGAAACGAAACGAAACATTGCGCCCAAAATACTACCAAAAATGCTAAAAGAATCAAAATATGCAATTAATCCACACTAGTTCAAAGAAACCAACTAATGATATGAGAATATTTACCAGTCTAGAAGAGGCAAAGGCAGAGGCAGAGGCATGCACGAAGTTGCTGGGCAGCTTTAGATGGAATCAAAGATGGAATCCAATAACTCCTCACACACCCGAAAACCGAAGCCCGACCAGGGAAAACCCCACTCCCCAAAAATTTGATTGTAATTCTGTAATTAAAGTGACAGTAAAAAGTATTTATAAGCAGAGAACCCAACATAAATGATTCCATTGTGCACGCTACAAACAAAGTCGAGTCCCCCTAACTCATAGAAACACAAACACTTAAGTGGAACAGCATACAATGTACTAGCAGCATCATCTAGTCTACATTTTAGAGCTCTCCTTCCTGTCTGTTGTTTTTATCAAGTGATAAGAAGCCCACACCCACACAAGCCTCTACTGTACATGCTTTGATTTATTTTAATTATTAAAATGTGAGCTCGTTTCATCATGAACAAAAGCGGAGTGCAGCTGGCAGTCTAAAAACCAATAGCAAAAAAAAAACATCTACAAGTACATGATAACATAAATAAATGCAAAACTGAATTTAAATTGCGTCTTTGCTACAGCTTTTTCTTAACGGAGCCGCCACCGCGTGGTAGAAGTGACCGATAAACATATATATATTTAAGCGCGATTATTACACTGTCTGGCAACTCGGCTATACTGACTATACCAATCGAACTCAAATTGAACGGATACTGAAGAGTTTTTCTAGAAAATATATCAATCATTTCACGACAAGCTCTATTTTCCGTGAAACTAAAATGACTTTAATACCTGCAAGTAAGTTGTACATTTCTTTCGATCTTGGCGGTATATTCCTAATGTTATTTTTTGGGCGGTTCAGAAAACCAGTCTCGCTAATCTTCCGTAAGTGGTTCTGCTTACAATGTAAATCAAGATTACTCCGATTAAAGTACGCCAGGCAGAAGGCACTTGGAGTCTCGACCTGAAAGCAGATGCAATCCAGTTGTACTCAGCGGCAAACTTCTTCCCCATGTTCGCTGCCGATTTAAAAAAAGGCCTTGCCCGTATTGCCCAGGTGACGTGTCAGAGTGGCAAGGCGTTCAATCTCAGTGCTGTTCTGGAGATATGGGCTCGCCACTATTTGTAATTAAGACCTCTGGAAGAGAGCATCAGGACACGCTTACCTATTTCATCTTTGGCTTGCATTTCTTCAAATGGTGCCTCCCCGACATAATGAACATCATAAAACCCTTCAGCCCAGCGTTACGTCTACTGGTGCATTTAAATGGAAATACACACCAAGTCTACGATGGTTTATTATTGGCTACCCAATAAACATCGCCGCTTCTAAAATGTACCATAGATTTTACCCTTGCGGTGAGTGAAGTATAAGCAATGCCTGAATTCATTTAAAGTTATTCGATTATTCGATTTCGTCAGGCATAAGCTCCGAAATGGGAACGTATTTACATGTTGATTTGTTGCAGCTGAATAGCAGCTGGAAACGTCTTGGTTTCAGTGTTGCATGGCGCCATGGTATGTAGTCAGGATGGGTCATTCTTCGCACGCACCCTCGCCATCCTCATCATTGTCGTACTCCGCATTGTCCTCGTCATCTTGGTAGTCCTCTTTGCCTTGCTGATCCCACCAGGAGAGTACGCCCAGGCCGGACTCGTTAATCGCCCCCTAAAAATCGGAGCAAGTATGAGTACATGAACAGACCATAAGTAGGAATTGCACTGGCTTACAATAATCTTGTACGGAGTCTTGGTCTCCTGCGCAGCTGTGGCCGCAGCTGTCGATGTGCTGGGGCCCTGCGTGCTTTGGGCGTCCGTTTTTGGCGGTCCAACTGGAGATGTCTCCTCGAAGATTTCGCGCGACACTCGGAATTTGATGGGCTCGCCAACGTCCATAAAGAGATCGTGCTTGGCGCCGTCCTCCAAAGGATACTCCCAGACCCAGGCCTGCTCGGCCTCGTCGAAGCGGGAGGGATGCTGCAACGCTGCATGTGGTATGAGTATGTCATCAAAGAAGCCCATCGTAACGTGGACTCCTTCACGGCTGCAGTTGCGTATTTTGCCGGTCATCACGGTGCCGACCATGGGACGGAAAACAATGTAGCGAAAGAGCACTTCGGTGTGGGAGGCACCGTCGCCTGGTAAAATAATGGAGTCCTGCAGCGACACAATCTCCTTGAGCGCTATGCACAGCCCAACGTTAAGTAGCACCTACACACATTAGATGCAAGCGAAAGAAAGCGATTTAAAGCAAAGAAAACAAAACAATTCACCCACAACACACCTTGTTGGCCAGTTTGCGGTCAATTTCGTCACGCACAGCGTCCACCAACTGTAAGTTGAACTGGTCCGGTGCAATGCGCACGGTATCCTTCAGCTCGGCCAGCACAAACATTGTGCCATATATATTTAATTAATTAAACAATTTAAATATAGTTAGAATGCACGCACGTTGGACCCTTCAGTGCTGGAAAATACCAGATTGTTATCGGCACAACAGCTGAAAATACCAGATTATTATCCGGCACAACAGCTGAAAATACCAAAACAATACCAAAACCCAACACGTGCACGGAGTTGAACCACTTGGCGAAATAGAATTGAAATTTCACATTTATCGCAACAGTTTGTTCGTTATAAATATACTGGCCTGTACGGTGGACTGCCACTGCCCGATACTCGTCCACGATGAGCGACGAGACACACAAGTACAGCGACGCCGAGGAGGATGAGGGAGAGCTTAAAAATGTAAGCAGAGCCATCTGGTGTCTCATCAAATTGCAAAAACTTATTATTTTACAGTCGGAGTGGGTGCAAGACTTCAAATCTCTCACCGTGAAACCCGATACGAAACTCAGCGAAGAGCTGGGCCAACAAGAAGGAGAACAAGATCTGGATTACGACTATGATGACGACGACGACTACGAGCTGGGCGATGAGTACGATGCGTATGAGGAGGCCTACAGTGGCTTCAGCAAGCTCAACACACAGCCGCAGCTCACAACAACTGGCTCAGCTGCTGGTGGTGGTGGAACGGGAAGCGGCGGAGGCGCTGCGCCACGTGTGAGCAGCTACCAGCCCAACGAAAAGCTCCTGCGGCGATACTCTGCACGCATCAATGTGGAGAAATATGATCCCACACCGAACATGAGCGCACAGGCGGCCAACCGGCTGGTCAACTTCGACCGTCGCCAGGACATGGAGCGAGTGCGGGTAAGGGATAAGCACGACCGAGCCACGGCAGAGCAGGTGATGGACCCGCGCACACGCATGATACTCTTCAAGCTGCTCAATCGCGGCCTGATCCAAGAGATAAACGGCTGCATATCGACGGGAAAGGAGGCGAATGTCTACCATGCCGTGTCCAAAGACGGCGCCGACGAGTATGCCATCAAAATTTACAAGACCTCAATCCTGGTGTTCAAGGACCGGGACAAGTACGTGTCCGGCGAGTTCAGGTTTAGGCACGGCTATTGCAAGCACAACCCACGCAAGATGGTCCGCACATGGGCCGAGAAGGAGATGCGCAACTATCTGCGAATGCGAAACGCTGGCGTGCCCGTACCAGAGCCGATTCTGCTCCGATCCCATGTGCTGGTAATGCGCTTCTGTGGCCGTGATGGCTGGCCGGCGCCCAAGCTAAAGGACTTCGAGCTGAGTACGTCAAAGGCGCGCGAGCTATACCGGGACTGTGTGGTGATCATGTGGCGGATATACAACCAGTGTCGCCTCGTCCACGCCGATCTCTCAGAGTTCAACATTCTGATGCAGGACGGACAGCTGGTGATTATCGATGTCAGCCAGTCAGTCGAGCACGACCATCCCCATGCGTTTGACTTTCTGCGCAAGGATTGCACCAACATATCGGAATTCTTCCGCAAGAAGTCGGTGGCCACCATGACCGTCAAGGAGCTGTTCGACTTCATTACGGACCAAACTATAACCGAGGAGAACATGGAGCAGTGCTTGGAGCACATTTCGGAGCGCATCAAGGACCGTGACTTTGATGCAATAACGGCACAGGAGAGGATCGATGAGGCCGTCTGGCAGAACACCTACATTCCCAAGCGCTTGGACGAGGTAGGCCAACGACAGTTTCAAGGCGTTAGTTTGTTTATAAACCGAAATCTCCTTCCCAGGTGCGACACTTCGAGCGGGATGTGGCCAAAGCAAAGCAGGGTGTGCAGCAGAATCTAATCTATGGCAAAATCACAGGCCTCACATCCGACCTGGATGTGCAGAAGCAGCCAGACGTGCTGCAGTCCACAGCCGAGCCAGAGGACGTGGGAAGCGACGAAGACCCAACAAGTGAGAGTGATGGGGAAGATGATTCCCAGCAGGAAAACGACGATGGCTCCAAGTTCAAGAACTCGTCCCGTCCACGAGACGAATCGCCGGAGAGTAAAAAGGCCCGCAAGAAAGCTGTGAAGGATGCCAAGGCGGAGCAGCGAAAGGTCAAGGTGAAAAAGCACGTTAAGAAGCGCAAGGAGAAAATTGGCACCATGAAAAAATAGTAATGCCCCCCCCGCCACACTGATTGGAACGAAGGAAACGCATGCAATTGTCGTTGAAGATACCGATAGATCGGTAGATCCTCGTAGTGGATGGATCTATAATCTTACAGTTTTGTTGTATGAATGAATCATTGATGTGAAGCCTCCATTTATAAAAATGAACATCGGATCCCAGTCGGATCCATTATATTTTATTGTAAAATTCGAATTTAAATCACTTTTACCACAAACAACAAATTGTATAAACTGTGCAGGCGCCTTGGAGCTGCATCTCAGCCACAAGGTGCAAAAGCAAGGTGAGGCTGTAATCCTAACTGCTTAGAGCTATATACATGAACTTATAACTAAAATTTGTCTTGTCAAGGGTCAGAATTGCACCAGATGAGCAGCGCTAGAGGCGGAGGCGGTACATGCCCGCCCGTACATAATATCTATACATAATATACATGGAAGTATTCATAAATCGAACAATCACAGCGTTGACATTGGCTACAACTACAAAGGGAATAAGATTCATCGGTTGTGGCTGTGCTCAGGCGTAACAGCGCTTGCGCAGGCTGATGTACATGAGGATGCGGAAGAAGAGCATCAGCATGGCCAGTATGCCAAACTGGTGCAGTAGCGAGACCTTCTCCACGTCGAGAAACTTGAGCAGCACGCGCGGATCGCTGAAGTGGCAGTAGATATCGTCGCAGTCGAGATCCTCGCGCTGAAACCCGAACACGGCCAGGATCATGGCCACCACTCCGACGCGCACATAGCTGAACTTCATCAGCAGATTCATGGCGCCCGTGATTTGGGGCGCAAAGTCAAACCCGTACACGGCCAGCCCCATCAGTGGCGCAATCATCATAGGACCCACGACGCTGCCGTTCTGCGGGTACAGATGAGGAGGTTGTTTTAGCTTAGCTTTTAGCTTAGTACTGAATAGTACTCACTGTTATACTGAAGGTGGCACCAATGGCCAGGCCCATGCCCTCGGCCACCAGGGAGATCATGAGGCCGACTGCGACAAAGATGCCGAATCGCCAGATCTGCTCCGGCAGTCCGGACATCCAGTAAGTAACCATCATGAAGGCAATGTTCAGCAGAACCTGCAGCGGCAGCCGTGAGATTGTCAGCGCCATATAGTAGGGCGTCAGCGTGTACCAGCGGTTGAAGGTCTCCTTCTTCACCACCTTAACCTCTGCGGGATCTGTGAATGAGTGGAAGGTCAGTGCGTACGCTCAAAGCGGGCCATTTTGTTGGGAATCTCACAGCTGAGGATAGGCACCATCACCTGGGTGTAGACAATCATGAGTACGGCGCCAATACAGAACTTGAGATGGTCAAACATGCGCGCTCCCTGGTTGCCCAGCTGGAAGAAGATCATTCCGAAGAAGAGGCCGCAGAGCAGGTGGTGAAACAGCTGGATGGTGAGGGCCAGGCGGGCTCGCAATATGCGAAGCATCATGACACGCATCAGAACCACGAACTGTCGCACGCCGGAGATGTCATGTCGTCCGTTGTTCATGCGCTCCGAGAAGGCTTTCACCTGCTCCAGCAATGCACTGGCGCCGCTCATCAGAGTGCCGTCGGTGGAGGCTGCACTGCCGGCGAAAATTGTGGGCAAAAGTGGACGCTTTGGCTGCTCCACGAACAGTGTGGTCACTGCCTGCTGCGACTCCAGCTGCGGGTTCACAATGTCCGCCTGGCTGGCCACGTAGGTGAGCTTCCCGTTGTCGGTTAGCTCGCTGAGTGCCGGCACCAGGTGCCCGTCCTCTGCGTCGACCAGCTCGATGACTGTGGGAGAGCGGAATGTAACGTAATGTAAATCAGTTATCATTATAGAGTTATGGAGAACTTACTGTAGTCCGAGGGGCTGTAGTGGCGCGGGCAGTCCAGCTGGGCTAGGCGCAAAAAGGGTATGGTGGCCCGAGGGCTGCCCTGATAGACGCAGTGTCCCTTGGCCAGCACGTAAATGCTGTCGAAGCAGTTGTAGATCGTGGCCGAGGGCTGGTGTATGGTGCAGACGATGGTGCGTCCCTCGCGGGACATGCCTCGCAATAAGCGGATGCACTGAGCTGCCGTCACCTCGTCCAGTCCGCTGGTGGGTTCGTCCAGGAAGAATATGTTCGGATTGTCCACCAGCTCGAGCGCAATGGAGAGCCGCTTACGCTCTCCGCCGCTCAACTTCTCCGCCGTCACGTTGCGACGATGGTTTAAGTTGAGGTTCTCGAGAATCTCCGTCAGCACCTCGGCCTTTCTGTGGCGCTGCTTCAGCTTGAGGTCGCACGAGAGGTTCATCAGCTCCTCGACGGTCAGCAGGGTCTGATGTTGATCGTCTTGTGTGATGTAGCAGGCATTATCACGTTTCATCTTGATGCTGCCCGTAACACCGTCGCGCCTGCAATATCCAGATATTAAACTGAAGCCTTGCGAGGAACATTACGGTCCCTATCCCTCGTGCCGTCTGTCATAATATCAGCTTTATGATAAATCAACACAAATGTAAACAATTGTAACCCCGTGAACCTCCATAATCTATGACAACCTCCAATGCGAAATAAAATATGAAGAGAGAATGGAAAGTGCGTGCACTAATACCTAATACACACATCTCTCGCTCTCTCAGCTTCATTTTTTTCATACGGTGCAAGCGTGCGTTTCCAAATCTACTCCGCTCCGCGTTTCGTGCCGTGAAAAGCCGGAAAATAGTTAAAAATCAAAGTGGAAATATGTCACGCAGGTGTGTAGTGATGTGTTTCAGTGTTTAATAGTTAAAACAAGTGCAAATGATTTGTGAGATGCATGTAAAAAGGAGTCTGCCCACACGTGCATATTTTTGTTTTTTATTTTTTGAGTGTTAGAAAATTCGCGTTTGTGTGTGTTCGATCAGTCTAACGGTACCGTCTCTCCATCCGACGCAACACGGAATCGTCGGCTTCTCATGTGGGTAGGAAAGGGTCGGCAAT